TGGCGAAGCATTCAGAACCCCGGCACTCCTTTGTCATTTTGCTGCAGGTCCCTCACCCCGTCAGTCAGAGGAGCCTCCTTCTAATGGCCTCCGGGTTACCGCTCTCCCCACAGCCGACTGGATTAAATCATCTTGTGATTGCAACTCTGCAAACTTGTGTGTGTGTGTCCAATAAAACCTGTGGAATTTTTTTTTTTTTTTTTTAAGCGGTACCTTGCGAAGCAAACGTATCCCACATGCCTTCCCACACCCACTACAAATAGACAGCGAAGGTGATACATTCCGTGGCCTCGGTGCAGATCCCCTGAGGCTGAGGAGTTGGTTCTGTGTTGGTGGGCATGTCACAGGGTCCATATGAAATAACAAAGCCCTAAAAATATAGTAATGTACCCGTGTGTGTGTGTGTGTGTGTGTGTGTGTGTGTGTGTGTGTGTGTGGTACTGTAGCCCCACTGATTCACTTCTCCAACCGTTTACTTTGGGTTTGCTTGCTGTTTTGTTTTCAGTTCTTGGCGCTCCTCACTGTCCCCCTTTTGCTTTTAGATTTTCATTCTGTCCCCTGGTTAGGCTTTTTAGTGAGCTAATAAAGTTCTCCATTGACCGCTGCAGGATGAGTCCTCAAAAAAGAATTTCAGTATGCATTCCCCAGAACTTCCGATTCCCTCCTCCTTGAAGTTTTTTTTTTGGTTCGATTCCTCTAATAAGGTCTGCGTTAATCACAAGATTCAAATATTTTAATGTTTTGTTCTACAGCATAACATACGCTAGTGATTACCCTACTCATTAATGTTTACGCTTTTGTGTCTTTAAAAAGACAGTGGCTGCAAAAGGCTAAATGAGATGACCAAAAATGATGCTGTTTTTTAGAGTCCAATGTTAGCTTTTTCCTTTTTGACTATTGTATCAACCCTTCATAAAGTAGTGTTGGAGATTGGAGACACTCCCTACTATAATTAAAATAAACAAATGTTTTTATATTCAATTTTAAATCCATTGCTGTGTAGATTAAATATTTAAGTATCCGGCACACAGAAAAATCTTTTTAAGTGTTCAATCTGTCAAAATCTGCGAGGGTTCTCTCCGGGTTCTCTGGCTTCCTCCCACAGTCCAAAGACATGCACTGGGGATCAGGAAGATCGGGGACTCTAAATTGCCCATAGGTGTGAATGTGAGTGTGAATGGTTCTATGTCTCTGTGTAGCCCTGCGATTGGCTGGCGACCAATCCAGGATGTACCCTGTCTCTCGCCCAACGTTGGCTGGGATTGACTCCAGCGACCCTGCGTGCAGGATAAGCGGTGTGATAATGGATGGATATTTCCCCGCTCGCTCTTTAACGATACCTGTGCTCCGTGTTCACCTGCAACCAGCTCGAAGGTCTTCGTATTGGGTCGGTCTTTCTTTCCATTTGTTTGGTTGTGCCGCTTCACTCGTTCATTCACACGCTCAACTCACCCACTCAAAGACCAGTTCCTTCTCTCGGTCTCACCATTCATCCATCAAACACATCTTATTCCTCTATTTTTACAAATGGATCTGAAGCATCCATCTCGGCAGTGACTCAGTTCTTTTATCATTCACACTCGCTGACAGGTCAATTGGAGTTTGAGGTCCTGTCCTCCAAGCGGGGGCACCAGTAATGTTGGGTTCTTCACTCCTTTACAGAATGAATGTTTCAAGTAAACGCACAACTTTTGCAGTTGTGCCAAATATAAAAGTTGGCTTAGTGTGTGTGGGTTGGTCACAGCCCCCACACACTTTCCTTTTCCTTTTTTTCCTTTTAATTTTTTTAGCATTGTCTAGAGGCATAAAGTTGCAGGAAGGTGGTGTGAATGTGGGAAGGCCAGGAACCTACGCGGGGGGGGGGCTTGATTCATTCACCATGGACCACACTGTGACTCTTCCTCTCCCTTGGACGCAGGTGTTCGTCCCTATGTCATAACCGGTATGTGTGCATACGCGTGTCTGTTCCAGCATGCCGAGTTCACTCCCTTGGGTCTCTGGCCGTGTGCACAGGGTGCCTCCTCCTCCCCAGCTGTGAGGAACAGGGCTCTGACACGGCCTGTCCCTTTAGCTCACTCCGAACGTTTGACACGCCGAGCGCAGAGGTCAGCCTGACCTACTTTCCCCTGGCGGTCCTTCTGCTGAGCTGCACCTCCCCTCAGCAGGGGGGAGATGGGGCAGCGAGGGTGGAGCTGCTTACGCCTTCACTGCTGTCCTGGTGTGTTAAATCACTGCCATTTGTTAGGAGACGTGTACCTGTGTGTGTGTGTGTGTGTGTGTGTGTGTGTGTGTGTGTGTGGGATGCATCCTACACACCAGAAGAACGCACACACACACTGCTTGCGCTGAGGTTGGATATGAAGTGCTCTGTGGGGGCTGCAGGTAGATGCTGGGCAGCACTTGGGCAGGACCCCTGCAGTGGGCTTTGTCTGACTCACTTTGTGTATCGCTGTTCGCACCCTCTGACCTCTTCCACCTACTCCACATCCTTTTCTACTCCACATCCACTTGTACCCTCATGCACTGCAAATACCCTACTCGCACACAAATCTAATCTACTGCTCAAATGCCGGCGTATTCTTTACACGTGCAGCGGTAATTGGCCATAATTCTTCATCAGCCTACCGTTGTCTTGTTCTCCCCTTTCCGTCCTGCTCAGCAAACACACTGATCTGTCAAACCAAGCAACTGTCATCATGCTTTCTTTCCCCGCCGCTGTCTGAGTATTTCAAAGTCCCTTCATCCTCTGGTTCATCTCTTCACCTAAACGTGACCTGCAGCCCGTTAGCTTCACTCCTCAAATGTGTTTAAGGCAGTGGAAAGAGTTTGTCAGACACAATATAGCGCAGGCGTGGGGCGCTGTCAGGGAAAGAAGAGAGCGGGCAGGCAGAGTTCATTAAAAAGTAAACTTCTAATGTAGTGTCAGGCCTGGGCTGCTTGACTGTATCAATGATTTAGGACCAGCAGAAGAGCCTTAATGGATAGAGCCACCTCTCCAAGCTCAGCTGCTTCTGTCCAAGTGGCATACACACTCGGAGGCCGTAAAGGGAAAACTGTTTGAAGTACTTAAGTGTGTGTGACATTACAGCTTGCATCACACACCATCCCGCTCAGACACTCCATTGTTGGACGCGTCTCCAGGGTTTTAAAGTTGCATAGTAGCTGGGTCGGCACAGTGTCTCACGTCCATTTGTCACCATCCACTATACATGACCGTACTCTGGATTTACATTGTTTTATTCATCTGAACCTCAGTCAAACTGTGACGAGGCTAAAAGGACGCAGTCTGCGTAGTGGTGCGGTCACTGCAGCCTGTGTGAGGTAGTCTCGCTGGGCCTAGTGACCAGAGGAGCGTCTATGAGCCTCAGAGTGGCCGGGAATCTTTTGTCTCTTTTGCGGATCAATAAGTAAGTTGTCTTCTCCACCAGATCAATTAATTTGCCTGTCTGCGGTCTACTGGACTTTTTAGATGTGATTGTACGGATTGACGTTTTCTGCGTCAAAACATTGCTCCTTTCCACCTGTAGAGGAAGAGGCTGGATCTCATTCATCCCACATCCAGCTCTGATGGCAGTGAAGGCCGGAGTGCTCGTGGATTTCCAACAGTAACCTAAATATTTTGGTCAAAAAGCATTCCGGTTTGTAACCGAAGCTTCGGTTTTGTATCAATCTTCTTGTGTTAACATCCGATGCCGGCTTCTTGCATATGTATCTTTTTACCCCCTTCTATTGTATGTTGTGCTGTTGTCTTCCTATGAATGAATGTTCTGGGTTCAGGGATATGGGCGACGCCACAAAAAATGTTTGGCATATCACCCGCCATCCCTGCAGTCTTTGAAGGTGGCTGTTATTGTGCTCTCGTGCTTCTGCAGAAACCACAGGAGCTATGGTTATGGTCAGATAATAGAAATAAAAAACATATGCTCATATTGTAAGCACCGAAATAAGCCCTTTTTGGCACAGTAACAAAATGGGTCCGACTGGCACCAGTTTGCACCCTCCATATCTTGTTGGAGTGCAGTTTCACACTGGCATTTCAGAGTGATTTAACCAGAGAGATTGACAGCATTACAACGAGGCTGTCATTATCATCCCTCCTGTGGTATAATTGCCTATAATACTGTTGAATAAGCAGCTCCCATCTCTCTTCTTCTCTTTCTCTATCTTGCTCTCCTCCCCTCCCTCCCTCCTTATTGCCTGCATCCGTTAAACTCATCAGACAAATCCCACAGCTTTTATAGCGTTGCCATCTGTCAATACCCCTCCATAAAGTGGAGTGGAGAAAAGTGGGCATGCACTGGCTCTTGTACGCCCCGAGCTGACCGGCCTCCAGCTGGTTTCCGAGGGCCTTCGGTAGCTGGTTAACCCGGGACTGTAGCATCGCTCTCGAGCCCTCGTGGCTACTTCAGCTGCCCCCCGCCTGTCCCCCCCAAAACCCCGATCAGGCAGCTGGATGAACCTCCCTCTTCACTGCTGTTGAGTAGCTTGTAACACTGTAACGAGTTAACTTTCAGAATGATCTACATAATTTATCCCCCCCCCCCCCCCCCCGCCCCCCTCCACACACACAGGAGCTCGCTGAAGCATTAATTAATATCAGGCTCTAGTATCAGGAACCATCCCAGTGTGGGACTCCTTCTGGCTCCTATTTTTGGCACCCAAGGAATTTGATATGTTGTGCAACCAGAATGTGGTTTGTTGGACATTGATGAAAGATATTTCCTCCTTGCGTGCGTGCGTGCGTGCGTGCGTGCGTGCACGCACGCACGTTGAAATCTGGACACAGTTGCAGGCTAGATCTCACGCCACTGAAACAAGCTGACCTCGATGACAGGAGCAGTGACTAAACCTACCCGCTACATGCCAACAAGTTGTGTGCCCTTGTTGCTGTTGGCAGCAACGTTTTCCACGCTCGAGTACTGCAGACTTGTTTGTGTTTTTTTTTTTTTTTTACGTGGTCACTCACCGTTGCACCTTTCTGTTTCTGTTTTCTCCTACAGAACTCAATACGGCACAATCTGTCATTGAACAAGTGTTTTCTCAAAGTGCCTCGCTCCAAAGACGACCCGGGAAAGGTGAGACTTTTAAGTACAAAAGCAATGTTTGCAATTATGACTAAAAGTAGACAAATATGTCTAGTTTAGTTACAAAACTGTCTGAAATCGGCTGTACAAAACTTTTGTGGTATTTTTCATTCTATCTCTGGTAGAAAAATGTTACCTTTGAATAGCTGCCAGGGCTCTGACAGTCTGGAAATTCATGGCATGCTCGTAATCTATTATGAACCTCCCGCCCCCACAGAATTGCTTTTCAAATGTAAGGAGAGACCAGTTTGTTTGACCAGTGCAGACAGACGATGTGGGTGATGGAGGGGAAAAAGTGAAAGACTCTGCAGGGTAGCAGTCAGGGGTCTCATTTTTAAAACATGCGAGGAATCCGTGTTAAATTGTATGTGATTAGTAGGAATGTGATGATATGATTATCCGAAGGCACAATAATTCATAGTATCCTTGATTATCACCAAAATATCTATAGAAAATGTCAAAATCGCATAGAAACATGGGATCAATTAAGCTTACATTTTGCTAATAAAAATAAATATTTTCTACCATCACAAAGGCAAATATTGTTTTCAGAGAAAAGCCGTTCAACAATCTTGTTAACATGTGGTCATCCTGCATAACAAAAAATAGTATCATTCTCTTACATGACTCCTGTATTTTTATCAGGCTCCGTTTGTCACGTCTACCTTCATAACGAGCTAAAAGGCCCTTTCAAGTTACTGGTAAAGATAATATACCGAAAATCGACGCCGCAGATGACTGAATGTGTCGCAATCACATTCAATATTGTCGCATTCCAGGTATGCACAAAATACTCCCAACAAGTGTGCAGCATGACTCGTGCACGTGCACACCTGCAGCTAATGTTACCTTTATCAGAGTCCACTTGGAAATTCCCCCATCAAGTAATAATTAAAATTTCCCTCATTTACTCTCATCTGGGCCTCCCATTTTTCTACTCTGCTGGAGGATATACAGTCCAGCGTGTTCATTTGGCATTACAATCTCAGTTGGGCCGCCTACACCTGTTTTTCTCAGCTCGTTCTGCCCCGATAGGTCCGCCGAGTAGCTCGCTATGGAGGAGCGCGCATAGGTCCAACCATATGTAGCCTAACCCAGATTCCATCCCAGCATCGTCAGAGCAGCGCATACCCTACATATGCTTAGGGAACCGCACAAATAATTACACAGGCGCACACACGTACAGACAGACACACGCATGAAGAGCTACGCCGAGCTGTGTAGAGGGTGGGGACTGAATGCTAATTTCATGTTTTGCTGTAATCCTCTGATATTGACACTCCTGGGAGCTGCTCCACTAAATACAAAATAATCTATTGCTGTATGGATCCCATTCCAAATGCATGGCCAACATGCTCGCATCCTTAATGTTTAATTTTGAATTTTCCTCACTCCCTACCCCCCCCCGAAGACAACTTCAAAGAGGCGTTAGCCGCTCTTGATATGTTGCATCAATATTGTAATGTGGCAGGAATATGAGAACTGCTGGTTGGGTGAGATAGGAGTGTCACGCCGCTCTGTCTGACTCTCGCTCTCTCCGAGATAGTGTAAGAGATGACTTGCGTGTCTGTACAATACAGACACGCAACCCGTCCACCTCCGAGGTAGAAGCGCTGCCTGCCACGGCTATCGTTCGTAATCAGTATTTTAATTGAGCTTACGTCTCCGTCTGGATTTTGCAGGATGACCAGTGCACTTGTTGTGTTTGTCCTTGCGATATTTACACAAAGAAAGGGGAACTAGACAACGAAATATATGTTGATGTATGAAAATGAGTTGCGTCATTTACGGGTGGAAGGCAGGTAGTCTCGGTGGGTTACAGGATCTTTTTTTTTTTTTTTTTTTTCTTTTACAATCTTTACAGCAGCCTTTGTTTTGAGGCTGCAGACGACTCCACACATCTATTTGAATTGCTACAGTACACTGCAGTATATTTTTGAATAATTTAATGGCTCTTTATGTTTCTTTTTTCCCAGTCAACTCTCTTGGGGTGGGTGTAGGGAAATGCAGAAACTCCCCTCCCATGAGGGTTAACTTAATGCTTTCTCCCCCCCTCCCTAATTAAAATAAACTACACCAAGCGCGGCTTTGTCTTTTGTGACCCTGCGTTTTGAAACATCTGTATCTCGGTGCCTACACGTAGGTATAGAGGAGAAAAGACCATCTCTCACCTTTACATTAGTTGATCGGTGAAGCTTCTAGTAAAAACATAAACTGGGTGATGATGTGTCTGCTGCCTTTCACAGTAACCTACATCGATATGAGATGTTTCTTCATCTCTGGTTGATTGTGCTGTGAATTATTCTTCCCTCTAAGGAAAATGTTAATTGACCCCAAAGCCTCTCACATATTAAAACTTTTTATTTTAACCCCCTGACAAATATAGGCCAACCCTGGCTTTTCCTTTTAACAATTGCAGCAGTGATGTGTGCTAGCTGTAAACAAAATAACAAGAGCAGGCCATTATGTAGAGGTTATTGTATAGATACTTACTATACGGCTCGTTCTACGGCCTGTCCTGTGGTTGAGAATTTCTCATGGAAATAACAATTATTCTCTCTGCCAAGGAAGTAATTTTAAAGGTCCTGATCTCCCCTCCTCTGGACAATTGAGATTTTATCCAGGGTCATATGAAATATTAAACATGTATTCTGAACTTGCAGCGCCCTTGGGTAAAATCTGTACTGTGTGCCGCGCGGCCCTGTTTGTTTGGAGGAAGAGAACCATTGAAAAATAAATTAAATGTGGCTCAATGCAAAGATAAATAATGCAGCCTGGATGTGGGATTGCTAGTTGCAGCCCCGGAGCCAGCCCAACTGTTCTCTTCTTGATTAGCCTTGCCCAGACCTCAACAAGGAAGCAACACGGCGGGGCCAGCGCCGCCTCCCTTCCTGGGCTGAGGCTGGAGCCTTCATCCTTGGCAGCAGCACTGCGATTCGGAACCTGAGGCTGAGGAAGTACAGCTTCGGGAAAGGCTTAGCGTTTTCAGCGCCAGCAGCTGCCCTCACCAGACTCTCATTGAGAAGCAGCCGCAGAGGAGGAAAAGCATTTCTTACTAACAAAGCCCACCCACACGCTGCACAAACTCCCAGCTATCAACTCCGCTAAAGACCGGGGCCGATAGGACGGGCATCGGCAGAGCGCGGGAGCTCTCTGATTTCTAAATAATGTCGTACACAAAGGGGGAGATGGGAAGCTGGGCGTGGTGTCTAATGCAAATGTGAAAAGGCGATGCGTTATGTTTTATCAACTGACGGGCCTCTCTTGTGTCTACAGGGCTCTTACTGGGCCATCGACACCAACCCAAAGGAGGACGCCTTGCCCACGCGGCCAAAGAAGAGGCCGCGCTCTGGAGAACGGGTGAGTCTGGTGACTGAACGAGAGATAAATACACCATCCACATACGCCGTTCCTCTGCTCACTGCTCTGCCCTTCGTCTCCGGTTCAATACTCAGCCTGTTTTTCTGTGTCTCGGTTTTCCTTTTGACCTCCTTTCTCTCCCACTCTTTCTCTACCACATGCAAACACGCGTGTATAGACACACACACACACACACACAGACTCCGTTGGAGTTTGTATCCAGACTTTATGTAACTGCCTCTCCATGCTGCTTCACTATCCTGTCCTGAAGTGGGGTCCTTAATAATAAACTATGCCCCAGGCAACCATTACATACATTAAATTCTGCGCTCAATTTTTATTTTTTCAACATAAATTAATGCAGAATTGTGCACTCCGGTTATTCTGAGCGGGCGCTTTTGTCTTTAATTATGCATGAGTTTGGTCCAGCCGCACGTACAGCTGCGCAGGTCTCTCTGAGCTGCTCAGATTGACCCGGCCCTCGGGCGTCCCCCACACGGCGAGCTCTCGTCTCCTCCTTACCCACAATGTGGCTGACCAGAGGCAACGGGGACGGGAGGATCCTGTTTGGCCGGCGAGGCGGACGAGCTAACTCACACGCACGTGAAACCCAGGATGCTGTTCATACAGTCGCCTCACGGCATCGAAACCCCACCCCCTTCATTCAACAAAGTGTGACTCTTTTGTTGGTGTGAGATTTTGGATTCAATTAAACTAAAGGTCCCGGGCCAAAGCAATTGTTTTTAATACACAGCTCTGCCAACAGTTTCAGCTGAAGCTCTCCTGACGCTGCTCTGTTGATTTGAGCCTGACACAAAAGAACGCACAGAGTGAAGAGTGTTTTCTGTAGGACACATGCACTGTGCTAAGCCTCCCTCCCTCTCCTCCTCTCCCTCTCCCCCCCAGACACTGCCTACAAGGCATTCCATCAAGAGTCAGACATTGAAATTGAGTTTGGGAAATCTCATTTATGTTTATCATGAATTAAAAATGGTATTGTTGGCAGTCAATCCTCTTACAGTAAGCAGTTTTGCGAGACAGGCATGGTGCCGTTATCTCTTATAACAGTGCTCCTGTACACCAAGACGAGGGCACGCGTGCGTGTTTCGGTGGGAGGCGTCTCCACGTCTAAGAAAGCACAGTTGCAAATGTGACCTAAATAAAGGTGCTGCTCTGCCAAATGACAATAGACCTGCTTTATTTTTGTTGTACCGTGCAGTTGGACATGTGTCTGTTCTAAGCAGGAGATTTGTCACAAACGTAAAGCAGGTTCTTTCCTTGCATCCTGCAGCAGGATCTCTAATTAGATGATGTTGAATTTGTATTATAATATTTTTTTTTTTTTGTCTGCCTCCGCACCCCGCCCCCAACCCCCACAGGCATCCACGCCGTACAGCCTGGAGTCGGAGTCTTTGGGGATGGAGTGTATGATCTCTGGAAGTGCCTCTCCAACACTGGCAATCAACACTGTGACTAACAAGGTACTAGAGCCAGCCATCCAGCCTCCAGCTCCAACACACACCTGGCTACACTGCTGCACCCTGACCCCACCCACTTCTCCAACCACCTACTGCAATATTCCCCACAGAAAGAGGAGCACTCGAGTGGAGGGGAGATACACACGCTCATATGCCTAAAGCTTCTCTGCAATGCAACCCACACCAAAATACACAGAACTTATCTGCACTGCAGCACCTTTTTTCCTCCACAACAACAGGCAGCCAGCTCTTGTTATCTTCAGCGCGGAAATGTGATGCTCGCACTGATACTTGGCCCGTTGTAACCTGATCGACCCCACACAGTCCCGTGCAGACTCTCGATAGGATACACCCAACGCGGCGTGGGGTTTCTGTCTTCACACCTGTAGAGGAGACTGGCGCTCAGTCGTGTTTGTCATTCTGTGACCACGTTACGCCGCGACACTACAGGCTACGCGACACCTCTGCTGCTGCTTCCAATAGCTTTGTTTTTTTTCTTCTTTTTTTTTAAACCAATATGCGTAAAAGCTTGGAGCCACTTGTACATCACAGAGCAAAGCTACGGGGACTGCTAGCAGTCAGCTGTGAGTGTGCCGCTCACTCTGAAATTTAAATAGGCTTTTTAACCTTAAGCTCTCATCCTCTGGGCCCAGTGGGGGCAGTTCTCGAGTGCACTTTTAAAAAGCCTACAAGAGTCGCTTATTCATTTGAAGCGGGCATTACCCAAAAAAAAAAATGAACAGGACTGTTTGTGTGAGACTCGACAGTCTGATCCTATGTCGTTGTGTGTGTGATACAAGTTGTGTGTACATGCATTTACAGTATTTCAGTGTTTCAGCTCGTTTTGACGGGGATGTCAACTCTGTGCAGTTTCTATTAGGGAACGTGCCATTTTTCATCTTGCTCTAGCAGACAGATTTATGTGTGGGGGAAGATTTGGGGGAATTTTTCTTCTGTGATTACTACAAACTCGCCACAGCACCAGTCTCCACCAGTGGTAGTGCATAATGACGCTAATGTAGAAAGCTGACTGCTTAAAGTTTGGACTTCTGCCATAAATACCTTGAGTCAAATAACTCATCACCAACAAGCAGAAAGCATCGAAACGAGACGTGGCAGGTGTGGTTGCGACAACCGATGGAAATAACTTATGGTTTGTCTCGTTTATACATTTGATAGTGACGAGAGCCGTTCCGACAAAGGGAACTACCAATACGTCTGAGGCCTTAACCCCTCGGAGAGATCTTGTTTCTCACTGTCTTACACTGTAAACACACGACAGGCCACGCCTCTTTCGGTGCAGTGAGCCAAGCCACAGGAATTCCCTCTCTGGTTTTCTCTCTCTCTCCTTCATTCCCGCCTTGGGAGACGCTGGCAGGGCGAACACCGAACTAGCAGGAATCTTTTCTTTTTCTCTTCTGTCGGACATTCCTCACAAGATTGTCCCTCCTAGTGTTTATTTCTTTCTTTCTTTGTGTGTCTTTCTCACGGAAACTCAAATGGTCAGGGCGGGGGGGGGGGGGGTGGTAGGCCTAAAACATTGGCTTGAATGTGATGAAACTCTGGCACTGAAGTGTGATGATGAAGGGAAACGGGATTGTTGTGAAGTGTGTTTGCTGATGAATAGTCTGGCTTTTTTTCCCCGGTGCTTCGCTCTTTCTCTTCCTCTCTAACAAATCCCTTCCTTCTCTCCGCCTCTCCCTGTCTGTTCCACCCTGCACGCGGGGATTGTGCTGAACACTAGCTGGTATTGTTGGATACACCTGGGCCAATCTTGCTTTGATTTCATAATCCATGTCTCATGCTCCAGATTAGGCCCCCATGTAAAAGACACCTCTGGCTTTTTACTTAATTCGGTGCTAAGAATAGAACTCTGACTCGCTTGCCTGCTAGCTAACGCTGTACACAGTATTTACTGTGGAGCTGGTCCTGCCTGCACAAGCATGCCTGCCTCTGTCTGTGTTTTCATATGTGTGTGTGTCTGTTATCCAGCCGTTGTGCACATTTGTGGCTGAAGAAGTGTGTGTGTGTGTGTGTCGTGTGTGTGTGTGTGTGTGTGTGTGTGTGTGTGTGTGTGTCGTATGTTTGTGTGTGTGTGTGTGTCGTATGTTTGTGCGTGCGTCTACGTATGTGGGCGAGATGCGACTGCGTGTCCGTCTGTGATGGCGAATGCTCGAGTGGGTGTCTTCACTCGGGGGACTCCGGGGTCCGCGTAAACCTCAGAGCAGTGAGGTTTTGAAATCGTCACACTTTATGGGTGATTAGAGTAAAAATAGATTGCGGTGAGAGACTTGCGGCTAAGAGCCTGTTTTATGACTCCATTGCACATAACATTTATATTTCTGTGGCACGCTGCTTTTGATTAGTATAGTGGGGCTGATGTTGTAGACGTGCTTAAGCCGTCAGTGTTCGCTGCTCATTGGGTTCCCCCTTCACGCTAATGAACACTGGAGCCAAGCCCACACTGAGTAGAGGAAGGCTAGAGTTGCGTAATGAGCTTCTCCTGCCCCCCCCCTCCTTCTTTGTACAGTGATGTCTGGATTTAACGGTTGCGCTGTTTTTGTGTTTTTTTAAATGTTTAGTGCTTCTCATCTCATTCTACTGGCTTAGGGGCCAAGCTCCATATTAAAAGCTTAATATAGTGGGACGCTCTCGCTCTGCATGTGTGCGCCCCGGAGTCGTACCAGCACGTTAGTCAGCGGGCCCATCAGTCGGAGCGGAGGAGGCAGTCGAGGCGGCCCGGGTTTCCTCGTGGGCTCGGCGGTAGCTCCCGGTGCCTCAGCAGAAAGGCGAGTGGCAGGATGCCGGACAAGGCCCGGCTGCCACTGCTGTCTCATTGTGCAGAGGACACACAGCCAACTTTGTTCCATTTGGAGTGATGAGCAGAAGCCACCATGCTGCAGTCAGTCACAGGCGAACACGCACGCACGCACGCGCACGCACGCATGCACGCACACGCACACACACGCACACACCATTCCTTCAAATGCCGGGACCTCTTCCACCGCCACACAATCAGTGCATTGCCGCCATTACTTTCTCACAATGCAGAAATCAACGCATGGGCTATTCTCTGTGGGCATCATTATATTTATTATCTGGATTTTTCTTTCTCTTGTCTTAATTGTGCGACAGCACACTTTATTTGGGAAGGTCTGGAACGCCTGTAAGACGATAATTAAGATTGTCGTCCCGAAGTGCTTCGGCTAGTTTTGCTGCTTTACTGAAAGGTCAGCGTCTCGGCCGCACTGAAGTCTTTTGTTCGCTGTCCCCAACGTATTTGCGCTCGGTGAGCAGATGTGGCTGACATCGCTAGTAGTGTGACCTTTAGTGATAGGAATGTCTCAGCTGTCCCCAGACTCCTTCCCACGTTAAACTCAAAAACCCCTCAGTGACTGTGGTGGGTGTTCAGCAGCACCTTATGTCTCTCACACACACACACACACACACACACACACACACACACACACACACCCTGGGTGGAGTGGAAAGTCCTCTGCTGTTGTGACGTGTCACTGCATGCAGCACACACGCACGCTCAGGATTTATATTTCCACGTTGAATGATATTGTTTCAGTGCGGAACAGCGGCATCTCGGAGGAATGCCCCACCGTCGGCAGGGTCTCTGATGACAATTAGGAATTTAAATCACTAGTTTCCTCCTCATACGATATCGACATATTATGTTCTTTCTTTGGACAACAATTTGATATTTGCAGATATCACAAACTCATGCCAATGTTGATTTAAATTTGATTGACTTTAGGGTCCCTGGAATCCATATGCAAACTCACAAAAGGCAGCACAGAAGTTGTTTGCATGTGTGTCTCTGGGATAAAAAGCTAACGCACATGTATGTGTTTCAGGTGGCGCTGTACAACACAGACCAGGAAGGGAGCGATAGTCCAAGAAGCAGCCTTAACAACAGTCTGTCCGATCAGAGTCTGGCCTCCGTCAATCTCAACAGTGTGGGCAGTGTGCACAGCTACACACCGGTAAGACCGATCAATCTACGTTTTGCGGTGGTACAAAGATGTAACAAACGCCCTGCCGTGGCGGTGCGCCGTCGCCCTGCTGTTACTTAAAGGATGCTGGTAATTCCGGATGTCGATGTTGCAGCCCATGAATGTCAACAAAAAGATATTTATATAGATGTGTTGTAGCCGATGATCTGTTTAGCGGCAAGGTGAAAAGGCCGGCTGATGAATGCTCTTTCCATCCGAATCGTTCAAGCTGTGGGAGAGCCCCAGTCGCGAAATGAATGAAAATAAAACACCCCCAGACTTGGAAGGTGTACCGTATCCCACATTTCATCTGATCGGAAAGCCCCGGGAGGCGTTCTTCAGAGGAGCCAGCCGTAGACGGCAACAGACGAAGGTTCAGGGGGGGACATGCGCCAGAGTACAACATCAGGAAGGGGGTTAAGGGAAACAGAGAGAAATGTGCACGCTCCTGGAAGCCAGACAAAGGAAAGCGCTTCCTCTGATGTCCTCCCACCAGAGATGCCCCCTCTTTGGTGTGGTCCTCCTGCATCCTAGAGTGCTCCCTGCTCCAGGCGCTGAGCATCGATCGGCTCAGCCTGATGGATGTGCTCGCTCGCTCGCTCGCTCTCTTTCTCTCACACAGCCAAAGCAGCAGCGGCTCACAATAAACACTCTGGCTTTATTTTCACCTCTTCACTCTCACCCGAGCCAGACTGTGAGCCGTGCACTTCAGCAGCCCGGCTACATCTTCCGGAGGGGAAGACGTTGCGATCCAAAATTGGCCGCGACTTCCGTGGTAATACTAGCCCCATAGTTGACACGGGTCAGGTCATGCGTTTGTGAAATAGCGCTGTTTTCTCCTCCCCACGGTGATTCTCGTAGACTGACTCAAGGCTGGAGGGGGGAGCGCTGCTCGCCGCCTCACAGCTCGGGGCAGTGCATAGCATTGACCGCCCACACTAATACATGGATAAAATGGCTGCTTATTTGTACAAGGTATTGTTATTGATTTTTGTTTTAAATACATTTTGCTCGGCCACCAGAGTATTGGATTTGTGTCCATTTGAATTGGTCTTTTAATGGTATGTGAGCCAAGACGGCAACTAAGCACTGACCTAGATCACTGGTCTGTTTTATTGTTGTTTATAAGCTGAGTGAAGGACACCTCTTCAGACCGAAACAACACTGTTCAAGTGGCTCCTCTGAAGACTCCAACCGGCCTCATATTTGACTTTTGCGTTAGTTTTGCGCATTTAGATGAGTCTCAAACTGCATTTAAAATCAATATTTGTTTTTGTGGATCCATGTCCAGATGAAAAGTATGTGTATTATTGATGTTTTAAACATTACACTTTGCTCCTCATAGCATCCTTTGTGCATTTAGTAAACATGTAGCCAGTGCACTTTCACAAAGGAATCTGTCATAAATAGAAAATTAAACTCATTGTGATCAAGGGAACATACTTTTAATTTTGTTAATCTCAAGCGCTCTTTACCTCCTCGTCTCTCCAGGTGAGCAGTCACCCGGAGCCCGTGTCCCAGTCTATGAGCCTCCAGCAGCCCCCACAGTCCCAATACAACATGCCCGACAGGGACAAGCAGCTCCTGTTCTCCGAATTTGAAGATCTCAGTGCCTCCTTCCGCAGCCTTTATAAGTCTGTTTTTGAGCAGTCCTTCAGCCAACAAGGTGAGTGGTCTCCCAGGAGCATCAAGTGGAAATCTAATAGAGAGCCTAAGCTTTGTTTATCAAGGAATACGATGATTCTCCAAGCGATTTTGCTAATGTTGGTTTGTTCTTAACAGCTGGGGCTATGGAGAGTCTTTAGGTACTAATTAGATTTACTGTGAAGTGAGCAGGTATTCTACAGGCTGAGTATTTTCATGGTCTTTTGCCAGAGTAATGTGGAAACTGCCCCATTTCATATTCATATAAGCCGAGTCTGCGAGATCATGTCTTAAATATTTCATTAGAGGATGTAAAATGAGATGTTACTGCATTCATTTAATGGTTAAAGCAGATCGGATACGCTAGCCTCCGATTTTCAAATAAGTTTTCTGCGTCTTGTCACATATTAAATATTTTGTCATGTAGGCAGTGTTTTATCAGGAGTGAAGGAGGTCAATTCGGCTGTATTTGAGGTTCATTTGTCATAATGATGGGGAATTTGCATGATATTATACATAGTAGCTGAGAAAGCACAGCTTTTCAAACCTCTACAATTCCCTCCACAACAAAATGCATTTGGCTTGTAATCTGATTGACTGATAAACAAAGAGCACTTGACAAGCAGGTTATGAGCAAAGTAGACTGAGCTTTCTGTGTATAACCTACTTTCACAAATCAAATGCATTTCATGCTAATGTTTTTCAAAGCGTTCCTCTCCTTTAATCTACCATCTATGTTTCATTAGTTCAAAGTTGTTACCTTTTTTTTACGCGCATAAAAGTCAAATCTCTTAGTCAGACAAGCTTTAGCAATTAAAAAGCGTAAATAATCGAGCAAGAGGATTTCACACCCTGCCGCTGTAGACAGTGAGCTAATTCACTGGCTTTGATAATAGGTAATGAGCTCGCATTATTATTCTGGTGCCGCGTTAATTGCTTTCTGTATTTCCCTGGTTGGACAATGGGCTTTCTGTGCTGATAAGAGATGCACCTTTGTCACCCCTGCAGAGAGTGCTACGTGCCGATTGTGGAGGTGCAGGTTAGAGTCGGCTCTAAAAGCACTCCAGTGAAATAGGTTTACTGTGCCAAAGCTGTGAAGGACGGGGCCTCTTAAGACCACTCCCTGCCACTCAGATGATTGCAGTTGGGTGTGCAGATGTTCACGTTCCAGTCATGTCGGTTTTAAGAGCCGCGGCGGCGGCACAATGAATTTTGTCAGAGACAATCCAGGGGTGTGTCACTGGGAAGGAGAGGCGACGGCAGCTCGGGAGCCTCCGAGAACGCAACTGATGCTGAGTCACAGCTGCTCCGTCCCAAGTGTCCAGCTGCTTAAAGGAATTCTTCAGCGCCATAATGACCATTTTTACATCAATTACTTGCATCGCGTGGCCTTGAATTTGAGCCTTATTCCTCCACTGCTAATGAAGACCGACAAGAACTACTAACACAAAACTATAACAAAACATCCGTTAAATAGTACAATTTGTAAAGCACGAGGTGGAAGTTTCATATGGGACGACCTTGTCTTTCTGTTTGTCCTAAAGTGCATTATATTCACCTCATTCTGTAAATTGTGTATTTTGGTGTCCGTCTCATTTCCCAATATACGGTTTCAGCTAAATATCGTTTCATTAATTATGAATTATATTTCAGTTCATTTATCAAATATGAATTCTTTTCAAATCAATGATTCCTAGAATCAAATGGCTTATTGTGTGATCCGGAACCCAAATATATTACAATTACAATGAGAAGAAACAGAAAAGTAGCGAATTCTCAAAAATTGTGCCGGAGCACGTTGCTTCTTTCCACAAAATCAATCGTCATCCATCTTCAAAGCCGCTTATCCTTCACACAGGGTCGTGGGGGGGCTGGAGTCAATCCCAGCAAACATCGGGCGAGAGACGGGGTGCACCCTGGATAGCTCGCTAACCCAGAGACAAACAACTATCCACACGCCTATGGGCACTTTAGAGCCAATCAACCAAATCCCCAGAGCCAACAATACCACAAATATGTGCCTGAGGCTATTTGCCTTTTCTGTATTTTGAAGATATTTAGACAATTTTATATTAACAATACAAAAAAGGTTTTACGGTTTTTTTTTTGTTATTACACATTTACATTTGTTAGACAAAGTGACTTAGCAACCTGTAATTGCCAATTAAGTCAACCTTTTTATAACGTTTAGCAGTACTATCACAAACAAATAGTTGATTTTCTGTCTGACCCGCCTGTTTAAGCACTGTTAATCAAAAGCTTTGTGTTGGTGTGTTTTGTTTCCCAGGTCTGATGGGCATACCGTCTGATTCCCCTCAGCAGTCCCACACCTCCTGCTCCTACCAGCACTCCCCCAGTGGCACCATTAGCACTCAGAACAGCCTCTCAAACAACCAACCCAACAGCCACCCCAACAGCCACCCCGCCAACACGGGCCAGGTAACCCTGTCCCACCCGGCCCAAGCCCACGCCGGCCACGGCTCCCCCCACGCACAGCACCTCCCGCAGCACGGCGGCCCCCACAACCAACACAGCCAACACGCCCAGCACAGCCAGCACCCGCAGCACGCTGCGCACTCCCAGCACGGGCAGCACCCGTCGCAGCACCCCGCCCCACGGCCAGCACCCGCAGCAACACACGCAGCACCCCTCCCAACACACGCAGCACAGCCAGCACCCGTCTCAGCACGGACAGCCGCATCCGAGCCTCTCCCACCAGCCCCATCCTACCCAGCAACAGATGGCCTGCAACACAGGTAAGAGCCTCGGTCTGCCGTGGTGGTCGGCGCGTTGTTCTCGCCTCACCGGCGTCGTCACTCAAACACGTAACCAACCTAATAGAAACAACAGCGGCAGATGTTTTTTTTATTGTCATCTTTGGCCGTAAAGCGTTTATAAATGGTCATCTGCTGTGGAAATGTATGGAATGGAAAGGTGCTACTCAGTAAATCATTTTCTGATTTATTGTCTGTGCTGTTGTGAGAACAAAGCAATGCTGCAGCCAGTGATTCCGGGAGCTCTCGCAGAGTCGACTGGCTCCTCCTGGTGGTCACAGCTCTGAACTCAACTGTCGGACAGCCTGAGAAACTCTTTGATTTGGTGCCACCGTTTCATGCATTTGGCGAACTGCAATGAAATGCATCATCGGGCCCAATTATCAGATCCGGAGTTCATAAAAATTACAGCAGCAATGTTTGCTTTTTTCCATACATGTGACCATAAATATGGACTAAATCTATATTTTTCCCAAAAGGGAACTTGGTGTCGGGACCAAAATGATAATTTACCCCGCAGGTCTCTCATCCTGAAATGTTACAGATAGTATGCTGTGTGTGTGTGTGTTGCAGGTTTACTGTCAGACTGGTACCCAAATCTGGATGCACTGAAAGAAAGCTGTCGTATTGCTAGCAGCTATAACTGGGCTGATGTCGACCTTTCACCTTTCCAAGGTGCGGTTTGGACACAAATATCAAACATTTGATAGTAACGTAATGTATTTGATTTATTTGTTTGAGATTACGATTTTTTTAGATTACACAGGAAACCAAACATTTAAATCCAGCAGCTGATAGTACAGTACTGCCCCAGCTTTTGATTGAGTGCTGTTGAGTGTTGACACAGTGCAGTTGATTACAAGTTTAATTAAACTGAGCTCTTCAATTAAATAACACTGCCTTCAAGTTTAATTACCAAAACACTGAGCTCAGCAGGTCAGTTTATCCAATTACAGTCTAGGATTGCAAGGTAGGATGTTTTTTAAAATATCCCCCACTGAAGGTTACTGACATAATTAATATATATTGCAACCAAGTTTTTATGTTTGTTAATTAGTTTCTCATTTACTAAATTGATATTCTTTGGACAGTCGGCTGGTGCAGTTTTTCATTTATCACAAAGGCATTTTAGTGCGGACGCATACTCTCACTAGCTCTGATAGTAACTCTAGTTGTTCTGTCTACAAATGTGCCTTTTTATGGTCCCTTAGGGTTGAGAGACAGTATGAGACAAGCAGAGTTGAACAATTGGTCCCTGGAACCCACCCAGATCGCCGACCTCTGCTCGTCCATCAACCAGTTTTTTGCCCGCACCGGTGTAATCCAGCCACAAGGGGCAGTGCAGCCTCCTGTTTGTCATGGCCCCATGCACCCCAGCAAAGCCAGCCAGCACCTCAACACAGGTTAACCTTAACCCCACCGCCGCATTTCTACCACGGATTGATTGAATGGGTTCAGTTCATCATCGTATAAATATCTGCCATTGTCTGATGACGTTGTCGCTTACAGTTCCCTTTACTTTAAAGTGCCAACTGTCTTTTTTTAGCGCACAATGAATCTGCTTGCTCTTCATACCAATGATTCTTTTTTGGCTTGTGACCGGTTAAAGTAAAAATTGTGTACCAAATGTCTACCAAATGCAACTAGTTAAAACAAACAATTATTGTTATGTTTCACCTGTGCATAGCAACTGAGGCTTTAATTAAAGTTGTGCAACTATTCTGTCTGCAGGAAATCTCTACATGGACACCAGACAGAGCATGCCCATGATGGGTCCTCCAGGATATCCACACATGCCCCCCATGAGCAGCACAGGACCCACAATGACAGGTGACATGAAGACACAGAGAAGGACACGATTTGCATGTTTGTTTGAAGCCCGGTACGAAACGTTGGGTCACAGTAGAAGAGCTCCTGCGTCTGACTTGTCCTTCTCCCTCCCTCCCTCTCTCTCCAGGACACCATGCACAGATGAACCAGCAGCACATGATACCTACCAGAAACTTCCAGATGCATCGCATGCCAGCCGATGACATCCAGGATGACTTTGATTGGGACTCCATTGTCTAGCCACTAGACCTCCTTTTGCAAAAAAAAAAAGAGAGCGAGCGAGGAGAGGAGGTGGAAGCCAGAGGAGGCCCGGCTGAGATGAAAGGCTGCAGGAGGGGGGGCGGAATGCAGAAGAACATTTGACAAAGCTCCGGGAGGAAGACCGACTTCCACGTCCTGACATTTTTACAAGCAAAAGATAACTAGAATAATGTTACTTTGAAGACAATCATATTTAGTTGGACATGTTAAAGTGATTGCTTATGTACTCGTCGAGAGACGAGTAGAACACATTCTCATCCGAACCACGTGCTCCTCAGCTCCTCAGCCAGCCGTCTCCCAGAGTCCAACCCTCCCCGACCCTCTGCTCCGTAACTGTTATGTGATTTGAGCAACGTGTTCAGCTTGTAATTCTTCTCGTGTTGACATTGGCCTCAGCTGCCTCTTGGATGAGTTTATCCCTCTTTAAAAAAAAAAAAAAAAAGGAAAGGAAAAAAAAAGATGATTTTTGTATTTTTTGTTCGTTTTTAAAGAAACACAGGCCGTCTCTGTGAGTAATGTGATGGTGCTCGTTGGTCACTTTTGGGAGAACGTGGGCCCCACTGTGGCTGGATTGGTGGTGAAGTAAGGTTTACAATAAGTTTGAACAGGGTGTTAAATGTTTAAGCAGGCTTGATATTAAACAAAGGAAAGAGAAAGAGCGAGAGATCACAGAAGGTATCGTAATTGCTTTTCATGGCCACCCAGTGTGATGAGGCTCACTGCAAGGGACTTGTTATGGGAGTACAGCAACCTTTTCTTTCTTTCTTTTTTTAAAATTTTTTTTTTTAGTTCTGTCTCAAGCAATTCAAGCTAAGTAAAAATGAGTGTGAGGGGGATGTCAAACATTTCTTGTCTTTCATTGACAAGATTGTCATTCAACCCAAAGTAACCCGGTCCTCTGTGCACCACGTAGGTTAATGAATGCTTTACCAATCAGAAGCTGTTATCACGTCATGTACTAAACAAGTCACATTTTAAAAGCTAGTTTTAATAGTAGAGATCACGCTTTTTAGGCAAGTGTCCTATTGATCATTAAACAATGATCCAATCATCATTGAGAGACAATTGAATAAAATAAAAAAATGTTATAAAGTCTGATTAGTATTGCTGATCAGCAAAGCACCAATAAATCTCTCCTAAAAAGGAATAACAAATTACCAAATGTCAAAGATGTGTTTGAAGAAAACCTTTTATTATACAGTTGGTCAAGTGGTATTCTCACAATTTGAGAAAAACTTAAATGTTAAAACAATATACGCCCCTATATCATCTTTTTAAACTTTAAAACACCGTGCCCCAGTTCATTGCTCCTGAAATGCAAACCATGTTGTAACATACGAGTCAAAGTAACGAGTAAAACATTAAAAGCCAGTATGAAAAGTTGTGCTTTTAATCTCACTGACTTGAAACATTACTAGTAGACGATATGTCTTTATTTAATGATCAATAGGATATGCATCAGATGTTGTTTCCATTGAAAAAAGGGCCAGGAAAGTCATCAGTTTGATTTAAAGTTCTTTTTGGTTTGGATTATTCTGTCAAATAAGTCAAACCCAAATTCATGCCTTTTTCCACCTGTGGTGCATCTATTTTTGAATGCTACACTCAGTGTTTGGGACTAAATTGCGGGGATATGATTCTTTCTAAACTGATCGATGCTGTGATTGTTGGATAGTGTCAGACTTTGCTATTATACAATCATAACAGAATGAGAAGTGTGACTCAGAGTGTGTGTGTGTGTGTGTGTGTGTGTGTGTGTGTGTGTGTGTGTGTGTGTGTGTGTGTGTGTGTGTGTGTGTGTGTGTGTGTGTGTGTTGAACAAATGGATGCGTGCCTGTTTTGGTTCCATTGTAATTTTCGGGCTGTGATTGATTGCTGCGATCATCTCTATGCTATCTATAAGCACAAAAGCAGATGCACACAGCGATTAAAGACTAGATTTGAGATAGTGTTTTTCTTTTCTTTTTTTTCTGTGAAGGGTTTCCGGAGCACAGAACAGGGAGATAATTTTGGAAACGTGTGACAAAGGACTCCTCAGTCAGACAGGTGCTGAACTTTAGAAAAAAAGCCTTTTGCACTTTTTTTTGTTTTGTTTTTTTAGGATGCAAAGCACCTTCTTGATGTCCCTCGCGATGGCAATGAACAGGATTAGTTCTCCCCTCTTCAGTACTGCTAAACTGTGTATGGTGCTTTGCATCTGTAACACTGTGTCCTTGTTTAAAGGAATAGTTCAACATTTTGGGACATACCCTCATTTGCTTCCATGCCAAGAGACGAGAAGGTCGATCGCACTGTGTGTGAATGTGGAGCCCTCGCATACAGGACGGAAATCAGGAAAGCCGCTTAAATGGTTCCATCAAAATCGGCCCCGTTCTGCTCTGCAGGCACCTTTCAAAGCTCACTGATCAACATGCTGTATCTTATTTTTTTCTTTTTCTTTTATCCGTTAGCAAACCTTAACGTTAGGGTTGTGTCAGACTCCTCCCTGACCAGGTGGAGCTGCTAACTTGAGAAATGACATGTTGCTTCATTAGTTTTATCGGTGCTGGGCGGCTGAGAACCAGGTTTCCAATCTGCTTCGAGTTGAGCGCAGACATGAGAGTGGTATCGATCTCAAGTGCGTTTCCCTGAACGTCAAACTAGTTCAGCATCCATGGACTCCAGTGATTGCCGTAGTTTCCGTTTTATATTTGTAAGACAATCTTGGACTGTTTCTTTTTTTCTTAGTCTTCGTTATTGTTAGAAAAGGCCTGTTCTGTTCCTGTTATTGGATATTGTCGAACCAGACGGTATGTTTGATGAAACTAAAAAAAGGGGCCCAGTTTTATGCCGCAGCGCTTCTGTTGAACTTTCCACAGCTTTTGCTGCGCAGATGGAGTCAAGTTCTCTTCTTTCAGCTGATTCAGCTGATCAGCTGATCGCACCCGTCGACACCCGCTTCTTTCAAGTCCGTTTTTTCTGTCTTCCTACATCAAACGTGTGGAGGACTTCCTCCGCGGGGGCGAATTTCAACTACGACTTTTAAAAGTTGTGGTCAACTGCCATAAATTCTTAGTTTGTGCTCAGACCGAATTCTTTAGTGGCACAAGTGGTGACTCTTAGGTGAGCGAGGGCCAAAGGACTGCCGCCGACGGCAGCAGTGAAAAGGCCTCAGCGGCCCTCAGTACGTCTCTGATTGACCTGCGACGGGCGGCGTCCAGGGAGGCCTTTGCCGGCGTGAAAGGAACGTGCGGTTCAGTTCTTCCAGGTGAAGATTTTGAACCCACAACCTAATATTTGAGCACAGTCGCCCGTTAGGAAAACAAAAGATTTCAAACAACAAAAATAAGTGAAGACTGGATCACAATCGCAATTTTGTTGTGTGTGTGTGTGTGTGAGTGGTTTATTTTCCAAAAGACAATTTTAAGTTTTTAAATACCGCTGGACATGTACCTGCCAGAGAGATTACTATCATTGGGAAAGAAAAGATGAAAGGATTTACGCAACAAAAAAAGAGAGAATCGTTGCTACGTTATGGGAGAGAACTGCCAACAAGTACTGCTGATTGGGGCCTATTTTACTCAGTGCTGGTGTGTTGTTGTGCTTGTACATATATGTCTTTTCAATCATCCCTTTTTTCCTCTTGGGGGGGTTGGGTATCACGGCTGGGGGTGGGTCTTATTCACAAAAGACAGGAGCAAAAAGAATAGAGTATTTTGTTATTGTCCAATCAGAGGGTGACAGTATGTATATATCTATATTGTATATATGTGACGAAAATGCGTTTGCTTTTTGTGTGACACTACCTTTTACCTGTACTATGGTTCTACATTCAGTGTTTTAGTGTTGATAATATATATTTGGTTTGTGTTTTTATTTTTCTGTTTTGTTTGATTTTTGTCTTTGTCATTTCTTGTATTTTATTTCTCCTATTTGTCTTTTTTGTTTATTGCACGGTTTATTACTTTTGTTGTCCAATTAGGTGACACAGCTACTCTTTGTATTCGTTTAGTGCTGTAAAATAACTCAAGTGTTATTAGAATTGTCGATACCAGCGCCCACCCCTCCCCCTTCCCCAATATGCATGAATGGCACTTAAAGAAATAAAATATGGTAACTTCACTGTGGAATAATGTGCTGTTTGAGCTTTTTTGTTCTGAAGACTTTTGGCAATATTACAAGGCAGGACATGTTCAACACTAGAGTATGAAGGTGGGGAGGAAAACCTCTAACTAAATAAGCAAAAACCATGAACGACTAAACGACTAAAACCATTAAACTCCAATATGCGGCTTTGTGCACTGGGAAGTAGAACATGATGTTTACCTTCATATACCTGTGTTGATAGTCAAACCTATTCAACTGTTTTTAAGAACGTATTAAAGCAGTCAGATCTTCTATGCAGGACGAGGAACAGCTGAAGACGTCCATGTGAGCATATCTCAAGTGAGTTTCTTTTTTTACCCTCCCAGTATTTGCATGTGGTGTGGGACTTCACAACATGCGTCCACCCTGACACTTCACATGCCCCCCCCCCCCCCCCCCCGGCCCCCTGGGAAGTTCCTTCACAGTTGCGGCACCAGTCAGACTGCTGCGTCTGAGAGAGTTGAGAACTCTGGTGAATGAAAAGACGGACGCCATGCTCAAAGCTTGCTCTCTAGTGGTGCTGACGCTGGTCCTCCATCTACAGCTATGCTCATCAGCACCGACGCGTAAGCCATTCATCTTTGTGTTTATATCTGTTTCAGAATATGCTAAATGCTAACATGTCAATGATAAAAAAAGGTAAACCTAGATTTGGTTTGACAATGAGTCAAACGAGAGTTTAGGTTAACAAAAAGTTAACTTCATTGGGTCTAACCTCCATTGCAGCTGCCAAAGTTGTTCAGGTGCGTGGAGCAAGACCAGAGGAACCTGCACCAGTAACTGAAGACCTCAGTAACCTTATGGAGGAAAAAGAAGCAGACGATGAGAAAGTCCTTACAGCTGTTCCGGGTCAAGCAGCGCCGTCTCCTGATGAGGAAAACATGTTTATTGCCAAAGAACCAGAACCAATTTCCAGTGAAGATCACATCTCTGATGATGATTTTCTTGAAGCAGGTGAATTAGCTTCCCAGGAGCCTTCGGCTGGAGCCCACCATGAATCTTCAGAGGATGAAACTGTGTCTGAAGAAGCTGCCTTCGTGGAGTCATCTCCAGAGGAAGCTACGGACAACATCGCCCCAGCTGTTGCTTTTGAGAGTGAACATTTTGTGGAGAATACAGCTCCAAAAGAAGAGGATTATTTTGTTCCGGTTCCTGCAGAACTTGAGCGAGAAGAGGCCGGTCAATGGGAAACCGCTGCAGAGGAACATGCTTTATTCGTTCCTGCTGACCCCGCCGAAGAGGACCTGAATCGAGAGGAAACCGTCTTGATCATTGTGGATCAAAATGGAGGTACAGTTGAACCTGCTGCAGAACAAACGGCATCGCAAGTGCCATCCCCAGAAGATCTGGTTGACTTTGCCCCTTTGGGTCCAACTAAAGTAGAGAAGGAGCTGAGAGAACAAGTTGTAGAAGAATCAATCCCCGTAGTTTCCCCAGAAGCACCAAAAGAAGATGCTGCAGAGGGTCTGGTCCAAATAGTCCCAGAAGAGGACCCTGCTACGATGGAAGAAGCTCTCGCTGGTCCACCAAAAGACGAGCTGTCTGTCAGTGACACAGAAGAAAAAGGTCAAGTGGAACTGGCTGCAGAAGAAACATCACCAGTCCTGGAAGAACCAGCTCTGCCTGGAAGGTCCAAAAGATGATGCTCCAGAGAACAACGTAGAAGTAGACGCCGACCCATCAGATACACAGGAAACTACCCCAGAAGAGGTCGCAGCAGGTGACAGCACGTCAGATCTACTACTCACATCTGTCACTGAGAGTGACTCCAATCCAACGGGGGAAGTCCAAGACGCTGCGACCGAGATCTTGACAGAATCCCTGATTGAAGCCGTCAAGTTCAGGGCTCTACGCTAATGTTTTCCCCAAGGAGTACATGTGCTCCTAAATGAAAGAATTCAAGAGCACACAAGAAATTTAAGAGCACAGTGTTTTTTGTTGTTGTATTCGTTTAATAAACAAAGGTTATGTAATTACTGCGCCTAAATGCAAAGGATATCGGTTGTCCAGCTGCTTTTAAAGGCCTATATGTTCTCCCTCTGTCGGCTCCAGTGGACGTTGAAGTCAGTTAAATGAAGCAGTTCAGCTCTTACTAACCTGTAGTTTATTTATACCATGGTTCAACAAATAAGGTTACGGTTAAATAATAATCCACTTAAACTGAGAAGTTAACAAAAAATATTCCACTATTCCACAAGGATAGGTTGATAAAATAACAAAAGCAGAAATTAATAAATAAAGCATTTGAAACGTATCCCACTCTTCAACAAAGAGGCATATTGAACTATTGTTTACAGTTCAACTTGTGTCTGAGTAACCTTGAGGTGTCAAAACGAGTTAATCTTATGACAAACGACGTCAGTAGTTAAATATGTGAAAAATGTCTGTAATTACATAACATTGTAACGCAAAATTACTGGATGACTGTGTTGACGTACGAGTATAACCTACTAGCTGTTGGAGTGCTGGTGGTAGCATCCATGATCGGCGTATGTGAAAATCCGCTGATTGCGTCGGCCTTGTTCAGGGTCTTGACCTCCTTGACTCCTCCTCGTTATCACCTGCTGACGGAGTAACCGAAAGGCTGAGTTAATAAAATGATGCGACCCCAAAACTTGTACACAATATCTGTTGCATTGGAGTCATACAATCAAGGCCTGCTGTGGTTTGAGTTAGAGACACATTTCCTCCCAAAAGGGAAAAACAAATTGCAATAGTTTGAACGACTATTAAACCGACAAGTCCGTTATTCATTTGGAAGTCACCCAAGGAAATCCAAATGTTTATTTATGATTATTGTTATTAATAATATAGATCCTACTAGAATCAGTTTCACCATCAGTCTTTCTCCCAGAATGCAAATATTTGTACCTGTCTGGATCTCGTGAGGTGAGGATATTCCAGTTCTATGGCTCCTCCGTCTGGCCGGGACAGATGGTGCTGCTGCAGATGCTCAGAGGTCAGCTGTGGAGGTCACCTTCTCCACACGGGCTCTAAATAAGGGGAGGGAGGGAGGGAGGGGATAAATAAACACCGTGTTATATGTCAACCTTTTAATGAGTTCAGAAAATAATATATATATAATTTAGGAGGAAGGATCAATATTTTGTCAACCCATAAAGAATAGTTTCATCCTTCAGCTTATCGCTGTTATTGCTGCGGTTGTCGAAGCAACACAACTCGCCATCCTTTTTTCATCAGCCGTGGGAACTATGACAACCACTGACGCTTTAGACTCGATAGCGAGGATCGTCCAGTACGAAGATTGACTCATCGGAGGTTTTGCAGAGACGCTGAGCTTAACTAATGACGTTGCCGTTAGCTAACGTTACTTACCGTATTCTCAGGTTCCTGACAGCATCCCGGGGTCGATACACAGCTTCACCGGTATCCGTGTTCCAAATGTCAGCCATTAAGCTTAATTAACGTTAACAATTAGGCGGTAAACACTCAGACGCTGTTGGTTTGAATTGAGCTCAGCTAAACCGGCACGTCTGTTGAAGCAAAAAGCCACTTAACTTTTTATTTTGTGCTTTTGGTACAACCAACCACACGCAATTTATTTGATAACTGCTCGCAAACTTTGCGAAAGTAAATGACAAGAACAACGGTTTAAAATTCTTCTTTTTCTTCTTCTGCTGCTTGTGCTGCTGCTGCTGCTGCTGCAGCCGTGGGGGGGTGGACTTGTTTGAGCCATGGGGGAGGGGGACTTATTTGAGCCGTGGGGGGGTGGACTTGTTTGAGCCATGGGGGAGGGGGACTTATTTGAGCCATGGGTGGACCCTGAGCTGCTCCACGGTGGGACGGTCGTCAGGGTCGACACTCAAACACGTCTGGATGAAGTTCTTGCAAGCTGGAGAGACACGGAGAAGAAATGTGAGATCATCAGAATGTGAAATGAAAGGAGCAGATTTGTGTCGGTCAAGTATGATTTTACTATTGTTCTTACTCTTGGAGATGAATTTGGGTATTTGCTGATTCCTCTTCAACAACCTCACCCTGTTGAAACAGTTCTCTGAGGCCAGGGCCTTAAAAGCGACTGCTCCGATCTGGTACACTGTGGTGGGTCCGGCTCTGTACCTCATTTTCCGGAAAACCTCTGGGGTGACCAGAGTACCTGGAAGATACAGACATAATAAAAAGACGGCGAGGATGAGAAGCTTTGTTGTATTGTCACAGACGGTAAAGAGCCAGACGTCTTACCGTAGAAGGTCTTGTAAGATGTGTCACTCTCGTCGAAGCTGCTCAAGCCGAAGTCGATGAGGCGAACTCGCGGCACGTCCGAGCTCGTCTCAATTAGCATGTTCTCTGGCTTTATGTCACGGTGGAAAATGTTCTTGTTTTTGAGATCAATCGCTCCATCGACAAGCTGGCTGATTATGACCTGAAGGACACAAAAGAGAGCGAGAGACGAGGGATCAGAGGCGGACGGTTTGACACGTTCTCACCGCTGTGACTCTGAGCTGATCGCAGCAGCTCACCTTGGCTGCTTCTTCTCTCAAGAATCCTCCTTTTCGCCTGAGATAGTTATAGAAATCGACGGCAGGCATCGGCCTCTCCAGCACCAGGATCAGCTCCTTGTCCAACTTGTACCAGTCCAGCATGCGAATGTGTGGCGATGTTCCGTCTGAGTCGGCCGCCAGCTTTAACATGACGGCGACCTCTATGGAGATCTGCTTCCCATCGTTGTCCTGAAATATCAAATGGGAGTTGAGAATTAAAGAGGCCCACGATTCCTCCGTGATAAGCAGCTTGTAGAATATAGAACATTTTAACAGCCGCAGGTGTCGCTCACTCACCACGTGTTTGCAGTAGATGTATCTGTCGGGGACGTGTTTGATGGCAACCTGCGAGATAGAAACAAGACTTTTTTCTTATCACTTCCTGAACATATTGTATGTGTGATTGTGTGTGGGCACGCGTGCGTGTAACACTTACAGGGAGGTTATCTGCTCGGCGGTGTCCAGCAAACACAGATCCACATCCTCCTTCGTTGAGCTTCCCCAGCTGTTGGTATTTAGCCTCAAATTCTTCTGAAAAGACACAAATATTTTGTTTTAATTTATTTGTGAGTGACACCAACTACAGTTTGTGTTAAATGTTACATACTAAACTCTAATATGAATCTACCTAATGACTCCAATTATAGTTTCACACTGATGTAATGAAGCCAAACTACCGACCTTGTTGGGTTTTTCCCTGGTTCTCTCTGTCCTCTGTGTCCAGCCTCCTCTTCCTCTTACTGCTCGGTCCTCCATCAGCAGCGGCGACCTTCCTCTTGGTGCCTCTCTTGCCAACCACCTCCACAACGGTGTTGCAGCTTCCTACAGACTCTCTGGACTCTGTGTCCAGCCTCCTCCTCCTCTTACTGCTCGGTCCTCCATCAGCAGCGGCGACCTTCCTCTTGGTGCCTCTCTTGCCAACCACCTCCACAACGGTGTTGCAGCTTCCTACAGATTGTCAGTTTGTTGACTGTCACAACACCAACGTGGACAGAATCATTTGGCATTCAAAGTGTCTTTTCTGCTGGGCTGAATCTTAGTTAAAGGAATATTTCATTATGTATAGCTGATCCTCCCAAAAAGGACACCGGCTCTATATGGGAGAAATGTCCCTAACTGATGATGGGATGCATCTCCAGCAGCAGTTTCACACAATCGGCTTACCAGTGACTGCTGAGTTGGACACTGACTTGTTTGCACGCCCAGTGGCTCTTTCACTTTTAGCTTTTGAAAGCCAGGACACTTTGATGAGTGTCTTTGTTCTCAGACTGGCGTTTCTTCTCACCCTCCTCTTCGGGATCTGCTTTTCTGACGATGGACTTTGGTCCGATGAGCTTGCATTGCCATCTACAGACGACAAAAACAAAATGAAACATTCATTTCGTGTGAACGAGTCGGTCATCTTTTATCATTTCAGGGTTCAACCGTAAGAAACAGGTCTCAACAGGAATTAGAGGTGCAGCTCAAGGTACCAACTCCATATTAGAGCCTTCTCATAAGTCCAATAAACCATTGACAGCAGTAAATGCAGACTTCTGTCTGGATTCCTCACTCACTTCGAGCTCTTCTTGGGACCATAGAACGCATAATCATCTTCCCCGTTTCCGACCCTTTAGACATTGTGATGTTTAAAGGATTTCTAACAGGAAAACCTCAGTGTGTGTTGCTCTCAACCTAAACTACCAAACTAACTGAGTGAATTTGCCACACAGTGTGTTCTTAGACTGTGGTGGAACATGGAAGCTAGAACATGGAACATGGTGAAACGTTCTATTCGGAGGTCAGATCTCCGGAGTCCCAGTGAAGCCTTCTAGAATGTGCAAATAAGCATTTAGAGTAAATGTGTGTGTGTGCACAGTGTATTTGTATTGGTGGAGCCTATCTACTGAATATATTCATACAGTACATAAAATACTATGCTATACTTGTTGTGTTGTGAACCGTTCATCTTGATGTTGAAGGTATAAAGAGTAAATAATATATCAACAACTGTTGAATCCTGATTTAAAAAAATCGCCTGGCTTTCCCTCAACTGCCACCATAAGGTTTCATTTTTTTGGATTGCCAATTTGGTGCGAATATCCAAAGTAAAATGATCGGTCCAAATCCTTGGGAGGCAGCAGAGTCCATTGAACAATACAATGTGCCTCACATAAACCTTGTAACGCTGCAAATCTTTGCTTTTACATTTTGTGTTCTACAAGAGATAAACAAACGAGACAAAATGTGTGAATTAGAGGCATAGAATTGGACAAACAGATCCAGACTGTCCGTTTTCTTGGCTTAAGCACGATTTTTGCAACTATTGGCTATTTTTGCAAAACTACACACAAAAAAGAAAACCTTTTACCAAATTAGCAAAACATGATAGTTCTCTTGCAAAAGCAAATAAACCTTAGTTAATTCTTCAAACATTCGTAAAAATTGTATTTTCGTATCAAACAGTTAACACAAACTATCACATTAATAAGCACACAATGCACCAAATACACACTGATGGCACGAAGAAAGCACACATCTGGCTTTTGCTTTCTATGTGCACAAGGTAGGCTACATCAGTTTGAGGTCATACTTTTGTCATAGTTCTGTAAACCTACAGGAATCCAAACGTCAAGTATTGGTGGGTCCGGGTCTGGCCACAACATTTCCTCTACATCACATGCAATGTCCTCTAGTCCAAGGCACCGGGGACAATGTGTTAGCCCTGACATGATGCCTGGTCAATATCCCCACGTGCCTCCTCCATTGCCTGCAGGGCGATGCGTTGATGGGATGACGGTCAGAGACCTTCCAGCGGCAGGCAGAGAAGACCTCTTCAGTTGGATTCAAGAATAGAGAGTATGCGGGGAGGTTGAGTACAGCGAAGAGTGGGTGAACTGTAAACCAGTTGCGGACCGAAGCAGTCCTATGGTATGGAGGACAAAAAATGACTTAAGTATAAATAAGTAAATGTATAAATAAATACAGGAATAAATAAATAAATGCGTCGATAAATGTAAAAATAAAAGTATGCATAAATAGATAAATGTATAGATAAATAAATACATGTATGAATAAATAAAAGTTGATAATAAAACCGGTCATGAACAAATACATATCACATATTTATTTCTACATTTGTGTTTGCCTACATTTCTACATGTATTTATGTGTCTGTGTGTGTATGCTAATGAGGTGGGAGGTCCTAACCTCGGTCTGAAGCGGGATTGGCCACAGGAGTGTGATCGCTCCTGCTCTACTGTTAATGTCTCACACGTGTTCTTGTAGCTCATTAGCAGAAGTCGTCGTTAGCATTTGGCAAAGTGGGCATTGTTTTTACAAACAATTTCAAATAAATTGCGAGCTTTAGCAAACGATTTGGAGAACCACGTGAACAAGCACGTTCTTCAGTTCCGGCTGGATACATTGACAGAGGACTTGGCTCAGCTCAACGCCGGTATGGAAGTGGACCAGTGAACGGTGTTCGACAGTCTCGAAGAAGCTGCACGCCAACTTCACATCCTCGAGGACGTCCGTCGTATATTTGTCCTCCAAACATTATTGAGGCGCATTTCCTTTGGGGACACAGCGCACGTGTTGGGAGTGTGCAGAGGACGATTCTGGGAGGATGCTGCAGTGCGGAATGAGGTCATCGCGTCCTGTGTGTTTTCCTGGTTTCATTCATAAAAGTGGCATGATATCTTTTTACAAATGTACGTAATGTTCATTGATGGTAACTGGAATGAACTTTTTACATGGCTGCCATGAAATGAACTTATTAAATAATGGTCGACAGAAGGTGACCTCTTAAACTAACACATGGTGTTTCTGTGTTTAAAAAACAGATCATTTTCAAAAAATCAAATCAATGACATTTTAGGATCAGGACAGTATCCCAGGAACTGTTGTAAAGTTTATTCGTTTAAAATAATCTAAATCTTGAACTGCAGTTTACGACCGATCAACGTACATCTTTTATTAAATTTGTTCTGTTTGTAATGTGAGCTAGGTGAGATTTTTGTTGTCTTTTCTGACGTTTGTCTTGTTATTTTTGATGATCAGAGTCCACGATCTACTAACTCCAACTATTTGGATGAAATGGTCACTCACATTCTGCAGGAAAACACCGGATACAAAATGATGGTTGGGCATTTTGAATGCCCAAGGCATACGCATACAACGTAAGGGACAGTAGTCATTATTTGTTTTGTGGTTATTTACCTTTAATGCTGCAGTTTTTCCAAGAGGTTTACTTGCTGATTTTCTCACAATGTGGTAAAAAGCAGCTCAGTCCAGAGTTTGTGCTACTTCAAAAATGACTGCAAGATCGGGTGTTTTACTTGTTTTATTTTTCAGTGCACCATATCTGTGCATTTATTTGCATATTATAGGACAGCGTGTCCAGGAATCCATGGGGTGTGTGGATCCTGGTGGGGTTTATGATGCGCACCCTTCAGCTGAAGACTCCGTACCAGCACCAAACAGTTTATGGCACATTGACGGAAATCATGAACTGATAAGGTATCAAAAAACATAAACCATTTAAAGCATTGGTCTAACATTCACCTCGCCGCAATTTGTACTACTTACTTCCCAGTATACCGATCCGTCAGTCTGAATCTGTGAATGTCTCGCCAACTTTACCGAACTATGAGGAGCCTGCGCGTCTCATTATTTTGATTTTCCAAAAATCGATCCGTATTGAAAGTTGGCAAGATATTCACACATTCATTTACCATGAAGACCGTGAGCTGGACGCATCAGTCTTAATGTGCCAGTAATGATGGTAAATTATGGTTGTAGCTGGTTGTCATCTACGGTCCACAACGGTTACAGAGAGGTATCGTTTGTGATTTGCGCTCTCGAATTTTGACAGTGATTTGCCGCCATAGCTTTTCTCCTCGTGACGGATAAACTGACCCTGAAGCCAAAGACACAGGCATCAGCAAGTAACTTGAATGATGGAACCACATCTTTATTGACTTTTATCTGTACAGAAAGAAACATCGTCAGTCACCAGATCATGCAAAGCAGTATTGTGTTACAAATGAAAACACGGTGCAAAACAAACAATAACTACTGTACCATAGACTTGGAGAGCGTCAAATAATAAGTAAGTCAATATGTTACAAAAAATAAACTCCTGAGATGACACTTACATACATACAAAATACAATATGTTATAGTTTACTTGCAACAAGGTAGTGTATAAGCGGACAGGTTGATGCGGTGTGGAGATTTGCATTTATGTTTCTTACACTTAGGAACTTGAAAGGCAGCAACACAGCTGAAAATGACCAGTCAAGGTACTGGGTTCATTCCAGGTTGCCTTTAGTTAATTAAAGTCCCACAACACAAACAGGATCAATCACAGAAACCAACAGTTTGATATGGCGTAATAAACTGGAGCCGCGCGTCCGACTGCAGTTAAAAAGCCACCTGGAAAGTTGTGACTAGAAGAAATCTTAAAGGGAATGTAAGAGTTGGGTGTCTAACAGATACACAGGTCCTGTATGTATGCTCATATTTATATCTATAAGAGGGTGACAGCGCTCAACAGTGACGTCGAGGCGTTTATTGCACTACTGTCTCAATGTCTTTTGATGAGAATGATCAACACGTTACAATACTGTTGATAGATCTACACAGAGGTGAAATAAGAAATCACCAGTCACAGCTACAGACATAATTCTTTTTACTCTTTGAAATGCATCCAGTTACTATTTAGGATTGATTTATTCAGTGCAGCACCTCATAGGTCTGATCCCAAAGCTCCTAAAACTACAGCAGTTGCAATCCTTGCCGTACGTCATCAAACAATTATAATAAATGAATGAATTTGCACAGCTGACACGTAGCTGCATTGAAAACATGTTCACAGTAAGGCTACAACATCGAGAGAACTAGAGAGAGAGGCAACGGAGTGCAAAACTCAACACTTCTTCTCCAAAAGTCACACCGAACCACTTGGAGGAGCCATGCATAACAACACAGAAGAAACACACACATATTTGCGACTCCCTCACACGACAATGAACTTCAAGGCTTGTAGACAAAAAAAGGGGGCGGCGCCGACGAGCCCAGTCGTTAGTCGCTGAGGACCAAAGACACAACAACTGGATTCACACAGGAAGAAATACTTAAAGTAGTTTTCTTTACTCACACACTTGCACTTACTGACAAATTGATTCACTGAAAGGGAAACTATTAAATGTCAAATATCCAACTATTTTCTTTAAATATGTATAAATACAGTCACTGAATGAAAGAGTTATGTCACTGACAAAGGTGGATCGAAAAGTGCTACAGGACTTTTGTGATATAATTGGCTTATCTCCCTTTATAGTTATACATGTTTTTATTCATATACTGTATATATACATAAATATATATATATATATATATATATACTGTATGTACATTCCATTTAGAATTGAATATTCTACTTTTATATAATTCAGGAAGAGTTCCTTCAAGTGGGAAAATAAATATTTTGTTATTCTATTCTACTCTGTTGTCCAAATCAATGACGTAACTCCTTCAGTCCATTCTGGCTCATCCACTGAACATCCTACCCAGAAGGCCTCACTGTTACTCACACAGAGAAGCTGAAAGTTGGGGAGAGGAGGGACGGCGACGGAGGGGATACAGTACAGTTAACACACAAAGTTTAATCTCAGACTGGTTCACGTTTAATGTCAATCAAGTCATCACTGGCCAAAGGTAAAATGGGAGAGGGGAGAGGGAGGGCGGGGGGCAGGATCGAAAGGGGTCTGACTACGGTTGGGCCGTGTCTTAGTCAGAGAAGATGCTGGCAAAGGACTTCCGGAGGTTGCGGATGGTCTCAGCTTTCACCTCCTCTTGGCCGTCGCCTCCGGTGCTCGAGGCCCCGCGGAAGAAAGAGGAGTCGCTGATGGCGTTGAAGGCATTGGTCAGGGACTGGGACTTACTGGGTGGGGAGGGGGAGGGGGAGGGAAAAAGAGAGAGAGGGGAGAGGCGAGTAGGGAAGGCAGGTACGATGGGATGCAGAGAGGAGTGAAGGGAGAAGAGTAAGGATGGAGACAAACAGGGAAATATGAGGGCCAAAAAGGTCACAAATGCACTATTTGTACAATGACCTTTGAAAATATTCCAAAATGTTAACATTGTACTTTAATCCCCGTTTGTCAAACATATGCAGCATAGGAACATGCAACGGTAAAACGTTGGGACAAATACATCAATACACACGTCAAACTCCCTCTATCTGCTTGTAATGTTATTACATACGTATATACTGAATATAAATGCTAAATAGAGAGGATTAAAATAAAGTGTTAATTTTAATAATTTCAGCAACTTCGACCGACACTAAAATACACAATTAAAACAAAGATTCTATTGATAATTAATGTGGCAGACGATTGAATTTCCAAACATTATCTTTCTAGAGAAGAAGGGATTAACACATTTACTTGTGTGTTCTAGACTCAAAGAAAAGGCCCATTGAAATGCACGTCTTTGCATTATCAACAGCGTGACAACGGTGCGGCTCTTACTTCAGCAGAGGATGGGCCTTTTGCTGGCTTCCCGGCTGCTCGTCCACGGGGCCCTCGGCCTCAGCGGGGCCCGCGGCAGCTTCAGCGGGTTCAGGCTCGGGGTTTTGGGGAGGAGAGGCCTGGGCCGGAGCCGACGCAGTATCTGAGGCCTGGGTGGGTGCTGGGGACACGCCCGCGGGCTGGGCTTTAGGCGTGGCTTTGAGAGGAGGCGGGGTTTGTGGCTTTGGCTGCAGCTGTGGCTTGGAATTCCTGCGGAGCGGAGGAATGGGCTTCGCCGGCGGCGCCGGTTTTGGAGGCAGCTCTTTGGGTTTTCCAGGAGCCGGGGTCGGGGAGCCCTGAGGCTGTGGCTTGGGCTGCTCTGTGGTGGGAGCTGAGGCCGGGGGAGGAGCCGAGACTGGAGCCGAGGCCAGAGCCGCCGCCGCTGCCGCTTTGGATGGGGGAGAGCCCGGAGCGGCCGCGGCTGCTGCTTTTGCCGGGGATGACGGTGAAGCTTTGGCTGGGGGGGAGGCAGAATCTGGGGCCGACTTTGCGACGGACGGGGCTCTTATCATCGGAGGGGGAGGCCTCGGCACTGGAGGCTTTGTGACCGAGGCGGCCCTCTGGACTGGGCCCTTCTGAATCTGAGCTGGACCTGGAGCAGGTTTCTGGACCTGGCTGGGCTTTGGTGCCGGTTCAGATGCTCTCTTTGCTGACTGTGGTGATGATTCCACAATCTGTGATTTCACTGGTGCCCCTAATAGAATCAAATATAACGACATTAGATGATATACAACACACGGCAAAACAAGCAAAACAGCAAAGGGAAACGTAAAGGAAATAAGTGAATAAGTATCGTTGTCTATTGTTATGTAGGCCCTGGTGTTTTAGTGCAGCAGTTGAGCCCAAAGCAGAACGTAATACCGAAAATGTGCTTGGGTCTTGACATGCCCATTCACATAACAAGCCCTCGCATTCACAGAATCCCTGTGTGTCTGGACTGTACCGACCAGCAGGGGGCGGCAGGACAACGGTTAAGAGAAGCTGTGGAGACGAGACCGCCATGCGGATTGTCTCTTGCTTTTATGAACGATAACTGACTGATGTGGCCGTTAGGAGGTGGTGTGGTTCGAAAATAAATGAATAAAATAATTGAGGGTAAGAAATGAGAATGAATGAAGGTGAACAACAAGAGGAGATATGATATACAAGGTGCTCAGTCTGACTCAAACACATCATGCAATCACGGCCAACCTATCATGCAACACTAAATATACAATAGATGACGCATGCTGAGTGGGAAGTGACAGGGCAGGGATGGGTTTCCAATAGCTGATAATTCAATTTCCAGGATGCAGCAGGATGATAAACAGGTCTGTAAATCTGCTAACAACATCTACAAAAAGGGTTCTTTGAAGATAGCTGGGAAGAAGTACACACATTTTCTTTAACGACTTGTTAACTAGTATTACATATATTTATATTTTAATGATATTATATAAATGACTACAACCTTCATGAAAATTCATACCAAACATTCTCAGTCTTTACTGTCAGGCCATTCCAGGAAATAGCTACAAGTCTTACGTTTTAAATGCTTGTGATAAAGCATCCCAATGGTTGCTCTGGGCACATAAGGACCAAAGAAAATTCCATTTGTACACGCATGTTTAATTTGTAAAGGAAAACACATTAACCATTTGCTTGGATACAAACCTTGAATAACTAAATGACACCGAACATACATTTTATATTAATCACTTGTCAACTGTCAAAATCTTTAATGTGTGTTTGTTTATAAGCCATGAAAGATTGAGACAGAGGAGAGCAGACTAATATTGGCAGCCACATTGAGTACGAAGATCAAAGATCATTAAACGATTCCGATCCAAGCAAACTAGGAAATGAACATGCAAAGAATGACACCATCATCTTATTCACACCAAAACAATGTGCAGAATTTTAAGATAAACTAAAATGGAAACGCAGCTGAACTGTAGAAACTTGTTCATTCGTCTGTCCGTCCATCTGACCCTCAGGAACCACTCGGCTGATCTACTTCACGCGTGGCGGCCGTACTGCTGCTTATCGAATTTGACAGAGTCCAGCAGGCCACTCGACGAGCGAACCCTCGAGGCAACACGACCGGATGGCCAACAACTTTCACCGTGTGAGAAAGACTGTTTCTCCCCAGAGTCAGACTTGATATTAAACTTAAAACACAAGTGCACAAGGAATTAGACCACTGCAAATCCCCAAATGACCTTGCTACGTGTATGCATGCTAAATATGAAAGGGTACAGTAAGTTACAGAGACGTAGTGGTATATAGTGGTTGCACCTTGAGCGTGTCACATCACCGCGTCTTGTATTGCAATAGTTATAAATGCACATTCATTTTCTTGGCAAGGATTAGAGGAGACGCTGATAAGACTCATAGCTAAAGCTAAAGGGACTTTATCTAGTTAGCTTAGCTTAGCACAAAGACTGGGAACAGGTGGAAATGGCTGGTGTTGCTCAGTCAAAGGCAACCAAATCCACCCACCAGCAACGCTAATTAACAGATATTTATCTTAGTCTCATTTCCATTTTTATTCCGAAAAGAATTCTTCAAAGAAAAAATCTGGATACTCCACGTGTTCTGAGAGTGAACTGTGCCGTGACAGACGGTTCAGAGAATGTTTACTAGACGGTTTACTTTGGGCCTACGCTGGTGCCACTCGTAGTAAGAATGATAACAGTGTTAAGAGAACCTTGAGGTTGAGGGCGCTGGCCAGAGTTCCTGCTTGGATCTGACTGTCCTTCCTTAAGGGCAGCAGCCTGAGGGTGAGGGAGGGTGAGGGAGGACGACAGAAAGAGAGTAAAGCAAAGAGGGAGAGAGAGGGTAAGGAAGGAAAAGCAAACAAGGTTAAGAATCAGTAAATAATCGTCAGTAACCCCTCATCAACCTGCTTCTCGTTATAATCACAAGGAAAAACCAAAGCAAGTCATGTTTGCACATCCGTTCTTTATTCATTACTCTCTACCTGTTGGGGCTGCACAGTCGTCGGCTTCTGGCCTTGAGGGGAGCGGGCAGGTGAGCGGGAAGCACTAGATGACCTGGTAATTAGGGCCTGGCTCATCTTAGCCGCCACCACCTCTGAGATGAGCTGGCGGTCCTCTGCCTGGTGATCGCCGATCAGCTGCATCGATGAGCCAACCACCTGCAGATAGAGAGTTGAAATTATGGCAAATGATTGTGGCAAATTCAATTTGGTCATTATCTTTATTTTCAGGGACCCAAATATTTCATCACTGTTGCAGTCAGGCTGCTGCTAAATAAGATATAATGTCAACATCCCTGTAAATGAATCTAGTCTGAGCAACAGTATTGCAGCATAAAAAAAGACTCACAGCGAGACGTGTTTTTCACATCTTTCCCACTTCAGCGACAATCTCTCTCACCCTGCCTTTTCGACACGTTTTCCTCACCTCAGTAATGTAGTCATTACCATCCTTGCCACAGATGGCTTTGACAGCACAGATATCCAGTCCGCCGAAGATTTCTGAGCAGGTATCGACCCACAGCTTATACCTGTCGCGTCAAGAAGTTGGATTAGGTCTACAAACATAATCTGTACCTTTTCTAGAGCTTCATATACATCAAGTCCTTTAAAAGTCACATTTGTAATGTTCAGAGCTGTTGCACAATAAAGAAGCTGTAATGTGTGTTTTTTTGGAAGGAATGTAACGATGGACCAGATGCACGTTGCTGGTGTTGGAACCTCGTTCTGCTGGGGCTTGTGTGTCATGTAAGGTTTGGAGAGAGCTAAAGTTGTTAAATGAATCAGACAACTACTACTAAAAACTACTTTGGTTTTATACAATTCAGGTTAGTATTTATGTATCTTCTTTTTTTTATTTTTTATTTGGTGTTCCATTCAGACGTTGGTGAAACCCGGACACTCAATTCTCGTTTATCTAACAAACTTTTTTTGCAGTTGCACAGTTTAAATAGAATAAAGAAAAAAAGGTTGCAATTTAACATTTATGGCTTTTCTGTCTAGTTTGAGCGGCGCTCAAGGCCTTGCTGGTGAGCCAGCATAGAATACAAATATAGTCATTTACACCTGCTGTGAAAGGTCTAAATATGCGCTTTACAAAAGGACTATAATCAAGGATTTTACCCATGAGCAGAGCAGCTAAATGTGAAAACCAGAACCAGAACATGGTCTCAGCTCAAAGAGAGGACACATTGTGAGTGACTGGGACACGTGTGACACGGGGACAGCCCGAGCGTCACTAATGTTGATGCGGTGCTCACTTGTCAGTCATGGCAACTTGTTCCAACATGGCCGATCCAGTGTTGCTCTTCCAATTACCAGAGATGGACGTTCGCCTGGAAAACAGGAAATCGTGTGTTGAATCATTACAGACACTGACTTTCACTCGTAGAAATTGCACAGAAGGAAGAGAGAGTCTTGACAGCCTTGTAGCAGGAGGGGTGAGATTACAGCACAAGCTGTCAGGTAGGAAAGCCTGTACGCAGCCAACATGCACAGCTCCGGGTTTTACTGCACTATATACTTACAATACTTATTGCAAGTTGCTTTGTTTAATCCATTCAGTTAAGCACTCGACCCTCTGGTACTGAACATGGAGGTGCAGTATCTGTAGATTGTTGATTCGGGAAATGAGAACAACACTCACATGTATGCCTTGTAGTCGGCTCCGATTTTCTGGACCCTGATGTCGTACTTGGCGTCTATAAATGGCTCCGTGGTGCAGTAGGTCTGAGTGATGGCCACCACACTGGCAATGTCCTGGAAGTCACTCACATTTTCCACCTTGACCTACAGAGGAGCCACATAAAGGACACAAATGCATCACATGTACGGCTTTATGTCCTATTTTGTTCATGTTATAATGTAATCTTGTAACAGTGATTTTTTTTTCTACATTAAATGGGATTCTCCACTGAGCGCCGAGTGTCAAAGTGGGAACTATCATCTACAGTATTTATTATAAAGACAGATGTCTTTCTTAAAATAGATCAGAGAGACCACTCAAAGCAACATCTGGGACACAGGTGTGTAGAATACGATGAAGGCCGATAACGAGCGGACATTCTCATATCAGATGTCAGATGGAGCGGTCCACTGGAATAACGAGTGGGGGATCGATGAGGACCGACGGCGAGAGGCTAAACACTTCCCTCGGATTACACCCAGACCCAGATAATATTAACACAGCTGTCAATCAATACCAGCACAATGAGAGGGGAGGAATCTTTATCCAGACACTGCTAACGACTTCTTCATTGTGTGACTGAGTGAACAGAACCGGTGCTGTAAAGTGACGTCAAACCGACGTCATTCAAACTCAATAACAAGCGACAGGAACGTTACACAAGCAATGGGCCCGAAGCCCTAATATAACAAGCTTCATACGACCGCGCCTAAACACAAAGGTGACCTGGCGCCTTAAGCCCGCTTAGCAGCGGCTGAGTGGCGGCGAGGTACGGCAGTGTGTGCGCCGGTCGTTGTGTTAGCTGTGAGCCAAACACAAGGTCCAAAGCAAGAACAGTGTTGAAATCGTCTCTGCCCCACTTTGTCTCTGGCAGCTGAGCAGCGGCGATGCCCTCAGCTGTGTTATCACTAGTGGTCCCTACCAGCGGGGGCGAGGGGCGGGGGGGGGGCGTTTAAGAGTAATGTGTGAGGAGCCAGCACTCAGTCAGCGGTAATATGAAGCAGATAGTAAAAGGTGTTTTTGGAAAGTGCGAGTCAATGAAACCAGGAGGGATCTGTGAGCACGCAGCCATAACTTTTGCTTAAGATAAGCCACGGACTGACCGATGCAGAGACACACACACTCGGATCCAAACAAACACATCACCTCTCCCCTGACCTCGGTTTTCCATAATGAATCCCCTTAGACTAAGAACTGTTAGAAACCTTAAAATGAAGCTTTTCTATCTCTATATTTGGCTGAATATAAGGACTCAACATTACCTTTCCCATTCCAGAGTGGGCGTGTCCGATCTTCACCACCACTGGGAAACTTGGTGATGTAATCTGAAAAGCAATAGAATAATAAAAGGTGAATAAAGAAGGATTTTCAACGCACTGAAAAGGCCATGAGGTGAGAAAAGAGAGGCTTTGAGACCACCTATCATCATTCACAGATCCGTAAACGTCCAAACAATGCACAACCCAGCGAGCTGTCTATACAGCATACTTACAAGCTTTATGTCTGGTGAAGATTACCAAATGATCACGCATTCCCCATTGTTTTCATCAAAATGACTTCTGGTCTTTACGTTTGAAAAACAAAACTATTGGTACTACTCGTACCAAAAAGTACTTTCCATGATTTTTGTTTGCTTTTATGAATCAGATGCTGCACTTAAGAAGAACAATAATCAGAATTATAAATCCCTCGTGAAATTGAACCAGAATGCTTCATTAATAGGTCATCATTTTCATGACGCACGCCGGCCAATGGGAGCGGAGGGAGGACATCAAAGGAGGGCCCAAGAGGCGAAGGATGGTAGCTTTTTTTCCCCTGCGTTTGAGGAGGCTGTCCCTAAATTGTTGAGTACATAAGAGGCTCCCTGTGTGCGACCCTCTCAGCATTCAAGACCAGAGTGTGAGGGGATCCGACTATTGTAAGTTTCTCTGTGTGTTGTCTACAGAGAGACAGAGAGAGCAGAGGCAGCCTTTCCTTCAACCCAAGTAATTTGCTCTGGCTAAAATTCAGAGGTGTACTTTAAACTTTGAAAACATTTCTATCCACAGCCGCCTTTAAGCTCATCTCACTACTTCACCCTCACCCTCACCCCCCCTCCACCCACTGTGTCCTCCTTCGACCTGCTGCCGCCCCGTGGACTTTTCCCGTGGAACTTAACAGGATCAGAAGCGGTTTGTCCAGCGTCCGTCGCGCGGTGGAGCGGTCAGAGGCAGCCGGAGTCATCGTGACCATGACCCAGGAGCGGAGTGCGTGTTTGGGGCTCTGGGTGCTCCTTTTGCTCGGCGCGGCCCTGGAGGAGGTGGTGGTGGAGGGATGTAGCTGCCACCCGGCACACCCACAGCAGCTATTCTGCAGCGCCGAGATCGGTGAGTTAAAACCCCCCTTCAGCCTCTGTTCACTCGGATAAGAGTTAAGAATATAAAAGCTCCCTCCCACCCCTCAGGGCGAAATTTTTTGTGGTTTGTAATTGAAAGAAATAAAAGGTTTATCATTTTCACTGTTTCTAATGATATTCATGGATTTGTTATGAACGCACTATAAAGAAAATGGCCGGGCTAATTTTTCTTTTACACCAAGATTAATACACCTCCTGCCATGTTGTTCAGGACAGCCTGATATGTGTTTTTTATTTGGAAATAACTCAGTCTTCTTTTTTTCTGATGCATAAAAACAAACCAGGCCTACTTTCCATCTGTCTGTCTGTTGGTTGGGTCGCCTGCCTGTCTGTCTGTCAGTCCGACGCCCCCCCCATCATCCTTCTTGTCCAAGCACAGGCCAAAACCAACACTCTGCTTTGACTTTGAGTACTTGCCTGGAGGCGGTGGAAAGCTGAAGTATGTGCTCCTGTCAAAGGTTACACACCAGCAGAGGACGGAGACCAGGGAGAAAGAGAAACTAGACAAAGACATTTCTCTTTAGTATTTCATACTCGTTTTTCTAATTGGCCTGTTTCTCACTTCAGGCTTTGAAAGGATCAGCTCCCCCAAAGTGAAATGTGTGTCAAACCAATATTCAGTCTGAAAAAAAGCTGAGACCTGTTTAGAAACTGCTATGATGCCAAATACGTTCTGGGTAATGAGATCACATTGATGGTATCTGGGGCGGTGTTTTTAGGACAGAGTTTTTAATAAGAAGTGTGTCATCAATGAGTTAGATGGAGGTGCAATATAATGAGTCTGTTTTCTCCAACATAAAGATATGAGGTTTTCTTACAGGCCATTATATTGACATAGTCACGATGAGTTAGATCACTACTTGGTCCATTATTATAATATTTTCTTTTCTTTGGTTTTCTTTGCTGCCGTTGGTCACATAAGAGCCCCAAGTGCATGCAAGTTAATAATCATGCAGCCAACCAAAGCAATTGAAAAGAACGTGTCACGAGTATTGCGGCTCATCTGCAGCAAACGATACATGTGGAACCACTTTTTCTCAGTTTCTGCCTGCACACGGGGAAATTTTGCCAAAAACGATCCTTCCTTTTCGGGCAACAGTCTTCCTGGGGTTGGATTTAGGAAAATAACATGGTTTGGGTTAAGATGATGGCCACGGAGGTAAACCTCTTCCATGTGCACCACTGGACCCAAACAAAACAGAATCCAACAGAACGCTGGCTGATCCGCTCCACCAATCAGAGCCGAGCAACTGTACCAAGTTACAGTAAGTCGGCCGAGGTTTGGATTTCACCACATCCTACAGCGCTGATACTAATAAGTATCCCAGGACTTGTTCTTGCCAAATAAAATACACAAGAGCTAGAGTGCAAACACTGACACAACTGTTTTTATGCTCTAAAGTGAGCCGCCAACGTTAGCATGTTTGGCTAACCTACTTCCCAGCGTAACTTCAAAAGCTGAGCAGCACATCAGGAACTATGACTGGAGTTAACTCTTCCACCATTATTATTGTAAACTTCAAAAGGGGAAAGCTTGACAGGCATAGCAGCCGTAACCATAGAGGGCGGGATTTCACAAATGTTAAATTAACCACAGGTTCCTTCGTAATTGGGTCCCATTTCCTTGGGTCTGTCTTTAGTGTTTAACGCATGAGCCCACCTCTGAATGGAGACAAGACTCATTGGTCTCTTTCGGGTAGAATGTAACTTTTTGGAGTCGTGAATACCAAATAAGAGAAATACCGCGCTCACACCAAATGTGTCAAAGCAAACTTTTCATCTGCCGTCTATCTGTCCTGGTTGTTTTCTAAGCACAGGATGCAAGTGGCCTTTACTTGACCTGACAGTGCTGTCAGTGCAGATGAGCCCTTTGAATAAACCTCTACATCTGAGTAATATCCCATCTGGACAAACCTTGGACCATTCCCTGGCCCTGTTTGTGTATTTGAGAATGTGTGCATGAGAGTGTGTGTGTGTGTGTGTGTGTGTGTGTGTTAGTTGGACGGCGGCCAAGCCATGCCAACAACACAGCCTACTCCATCTCTCTCTCTTTCTTTCCCTCTCTCTCCCCACTTCATTTCCATGTCTATAGGCTTGGTCTAATGGTCTGCATACTAACAATATCAGTGTGAAAGCCCACTGACAGTCCAGCTTTGTGAGCATGACAAGGGTGCCGATTCATCAGGGAGGGGGGGCAGGGGGGGTTACTTACTACATCAGTTCTCATGGTACAAGTTTGCAATATTTCTCTTTGGTTATGTAGCTGCGAGGCAGATGCACGGCCACTTTCACTCTGCAGGCGCGCCTGTCTTTATATCCTGCTCATAACACAGCTGCAGTAACTGAAGTGGGTGGGTAACGTAGCCTGCGCAGTTCAAAGATGTCTAGGTGGGGGGTAAACGTTTCAGAGAATCTAGGCCAAGAGAATCATTTTAGGAAGAGACTCTTCCAAGAAACTTGGAATAAAAAAAGTCTTCCTGTTCTGTTATTACATTTAATTTACATAACAAATGTAAATTAAATGAATCCCCTCTCAAAAACGAATGTGTCTGGAAGGTGATCCAACTAAAAGCACCGGCTGTGAAGGAAAAACAACAGTACAGTTATTGGTTTACTGGCTGTAGCAACTTTCTGTCCTCGCCCACGTTGCACTGATACACAGCCAATCCTCCGACTGCCAACCATTTGATCCTTACACAGAGCACGGTTAAGCCGTGGTGTATTACTTACCATTAATAGACAATACAGACCCATTATTCTGCTCAGAAGATCCAAATTGGCTGGCTATTTGGCCCGGAGCACTTCATCAACTTCCAGATGTGTTTGTTCTCGCCAAAGTGAGGCCAGAACACAGAGGTGAAGGGAACCAGAGGGCAATAATATGACAGTGATCCTCGGTACAGAGTATTTCTGTCCAGTGAGCGTGGCAGACTCATGCAGTGGTGGAATCATAGTTAAATGGGTGGATGCTAATGTGTAGATTCAAGTAAAGTGAGTAAGTTTAGATGTTCTTTTTTACTCGTTGATCAAACTGAGCTATAATTCTTGGGTCAATGTGTGTACTTGTGTGCACAGTCAGGCATGTCATCGTGTACATAAGGTATTATAGAGCATCTATGAAATTACTATATTTGAGATGTACTTGTTACTGACATCTAAAAAAAAAGATAAATAAATGGCAAAATGAGATTGGAGCATTTTGCTCTCTCCGAGAACAAAACCAGCTGGTCTTTGTGTGCACTGCACAAACTACAACGCCTCGCACAAGATCCCATTAACTCTCTGTCCGTCCTGCCTGCCTTTCTATCTCCTAGCGTCTCCCTTTCTCCTGAACTCCTTTCCCAGAACACACTGAGCTTCATTTTGTCGTTATGGGATGAGGTGAATCGCACAAACAGGGAGGGGGTTTGCGTAGCTGAATCTTTTTATTCCGTGGTTTTACCAAGGTCATAAGCTTCACTTAGTTGTGTCTCGCCTTCTCCTTTTCCATCGCATGCTGGTTCAACTACAGGAAACCGTTCGTTCTCTTTTAGAGAGAATACCAATTCAGCCTTGGTTTATATTGGTTGGTTTATACGCCTGTGAGGCTTTGGCTTCTCACGCTACACATAATGCTGTTCACAATGATAGTAGAGGCACATTTGACACTCGAAATTCTTAGTGATATTCAAACAATGGCTCATTCAGTTGTAGTCAAACAACTGAGGGACAGCTTACAAGTACATTTTTAACTAATAAATGCTAACTCCGTGTCAGATGATGCCTGGTGGATTGTGACATTACGTTTCGGTCGATGCTCTTTTGCTATTAACTGCTTCTGCATGAGGACTAAGCAATGAGCTATTGTTATTGACATGCAGTTGTAAACAAAGCTGAATATATAGAAATGTCGGAGATTACCTCTAAGTCAGCTTTAAATACACAACCTGGACTACTACCACTGTGTATTGTACTTCTTATAAGGCTGGTTCGCCGCTGTCTGCGACTGTGTGGGACTTTTTGATAAGCTGGCAGAAAGCTATTACTCTGATTTTAGGCGAGAGCAATGTAGTTAAGTCAAAGGAAACGTTCGACAGGGCAGTTAACATAATGAGCCACACAGTTTTCTAAATGGATGGAAGAAAAAAAGTGGTTCAGCAGAACAGAAATCTGTTTGAATTGGTGCAGCGTTGGCGGAGTGTTATCATTTTTGTTCAAGTGTAAAGAGGTTTTGGTCTCTTGTTTCGAGGTTGTAAAATGACACATCTTCACTGTACCTTCCTATTGCGAGGCACCGACCAATTGTCCTGCTTTCTCCTCGAGGTTCGGGAGGACTTGAACACACCTCTGTGCCAGACATGGTTTGTGTGTGTGGTGCATACTGTATACATCAATCTGTGTTTGTGTGCGTGGAGTCAGTTACTGGGAGTGTGCGGGCTGAGAGCTACTTGATATTCCATGTGAGTTTTAATTCCCCCCCCAGAGGAAAGAGGGGCGGGGGGGGGGGGGGGGGGCACATCCTGTATCACTACTTAGAGGAACTGCCGCACTGTCTCTGGAGAGAAAGACTAGTGACAAACGAAATGACGGAGGAGTGAGGGAGGAGAGGGTTACCAGTGTTAAGGAAAAATACAGTGATCATAGATATGCATTATTCTCTGGCACGTAAATCACATTCATTCTCCAAACTCCATTTATTTGCCCTTCCAATGAATCTAAATCATTTTCCAGTTCTAATACTTTCCTTCTCCCGCCAGTGATAAGGGCAAAGATCTCTGGAGAGAAGATTGTGTCTCCAAGCAACAGCTCCTCACCTTACATGAAGATGATCCAATATGAAATAAAAATGATCAAGGTGAGATCTCTGTTTCTGCTGTCAGTGCACACAAAGAACATGTTCTTATTATCTCTGCTGTGAGTAGCTGTATAGTTGATTTTACTGATGTATCTATTGTTGACAATATTAAAGCTCACAGAAACACACAAAATATATTAATTATTTTATTACAGCAAGCAAGTGTCTGCATCGTGGAGTGGAATTGACATGTGTTTGATTACTAAGGATTTTAAAACCAGCATTCTTTATTTTAAAGAAAAGGTTGAAACGGTTTTCATGTCCTTTCATTATTTCTAATTACATTTTCTTTCCCTCTGGGTCCAGATGTTCAAAGGTTTTGACAAGGCCAAAGACATCCAGTACGTGTACACTCCAGTCTTCTCCTCACTGTGTGGCGTCAAACTGGACTCCAACAACAAAGCAGGGTATTTGCTCTCAGGTACAGTAACAATTTAACATTGCAATTTTCGTGAGAAAAAGCAGGGATGGTGACATTGATATAAAAGGGAATAGATTGTCTGGTTAGCATTTAGCATTTTGCTCAGCTGAGGTAAAGCGTAACCATCTCCTCAACTCTCGCAAGAAAGCAACTGTATGTAAAATCCTGAAAATGTCTGGAAGTGTACATTACTCAACCTAAATTATATTAACTGTGAACTAATTTGAACTATTAAATAAAACAGGATTCTCAATTTATGCAAATCAACTTTCTTTCTTTAAATTGATTACATTTGACTTGCTGTGTGCTAGATGACATTTTCAACAGCAGTGTTGTGATGTAACCAAACAGGAAGTACGTGGAGTGATGGAAGGATTTCTATTGGCCAATGCGACCTGGTAGAATCCTGGGACAACTTATCACTGTCCCAGAAGAAGAATCTCAACTACAGATACCAGATGGGCTGTGAATGCAGAGTGAGTAAGGACCGTTTGTTCTTTACTCATATATATTTATTCCTTGTCCCACTATCAGCCTGAGAAATGCCTTTAAAAGCACAGCAACCGCAAAAGCAAATGCAAAAAGGTCACTTTTCTCATCTCTTATTCTGCCTCAAAGTTGTTTTCCATTTCAGTGCAAAACAAATCACAAGTATGTCTCTTTTTTCCAATAAATAAGTGCTTTACAACATCACGTGTCTACAGAGACGCTCCAGTTTCTTTAGAGATTCCAGAGAAACTCAACTAACGAGGATGGAGGAACAAATACTGCGATACTGCGATGAGTGAGTGAGTGAGCGGCTGACCCAAAGGCTCTTGTGCCCACAGATCAACACCTGTTACACAGTCCCGTGTGCGTCCACAGGAGAAAACGAGTGCTTGTGGACTGACTGGTTGCTGGATAACAGCCTAAATGGGGAGCAGGCTCGGCAGTACGCGTGCATCCGCCGTTCTGACACAACCTGTAGCTGGTACCGGGGCGGACCGCCGCCTGAGAAAGACTTCCTGGACATAGCCGACCCCTGACGTGTTAACTCATTTTCTTCCATTTCACTCGTGCAAAAATCCTGAGAAACATTTCCTGCTTTGGCTTATGTAGCTCAAATGGCGGGCTCATTACGGCGCGCAAAGTAGCAACAGAGTTCATTGAAAAATTGGCTGAATTTGACAAATGAGGTTTAACCCAACACTGAGCTCATGTTAGCGGAGTTCACTTGGTTGCTACGGCAATGCTAAATCTTTTTGAACTGCAGAAGCCTCAAACATTCCTCTGACTCATTTTCTCTCTCGCTCTCTCTCTCTCATTCATTCCACTTCACTTAACAGCAGCAGACTGTCCAATGTAAATTATTCACCCGAGGGTAAATACTTTCCTTCATTTCTGATGAGCTGATGGCAAATGCATAACCTGGACAAATACTGAAGTCCTCACAGATGCTCATTCAAAACTCACAAGGGCTTATGTATGCATTTGGGTTATGCATTTGCTGAAAGTAAAAGGAATTTGGACATTTACTAAAGCAATATGAGGAAAAAGGCCAACGATGCTGCAGTAGAAAGTCTACTTTACACCCTCTGTTGTCAAATCATTTGCAGGTAGACTGCAGCGCTGACACCTTTGTTGAATTAATACATTTGTCTAGTATTTGCTGTAGATGTACAGTATATATACTATACTATATATATATATTTACAATATCTAGAGCCAAACAACACCAGGCATTCCCCAATTAATTATATTTGACACATGAATTATATATGACCATAAGTCTTGTACATCTAAATCATCACAGTTTATACTCTCGAATTGCTGAGAATGTAAATATTGTACTTGAGTGGTGGTAATTAACATGTTAAAGGCTAACCGAATGTGTTTCCTAGCATAGAAGTTGTTAACGTTTATGTGTTTAGTTTTTCTTTTTCTGTGCCAAAAATCTAATCCAGCGCTTTAACAACAGCATTGCCGCCTGTAGAAGCCGAGCCACCTCTTCTTTGAGGAAATGATGTAACAGGACAAGGTTCAATTCACTGTTTTTAACATTTTAAAAAACGGCAAGATGCTTCTCCTCAATTTTTCAGCTCATGAAAGACTTTGACAGAAGAGGTTAAAAATGGCAAATAACTGATATTCACGAATGAGCTGGAATTAGTGATTTAATTGTTGTTTTAAAGGCCTTATTTGATATATAACTCATTTATTAAAATACATGAATCTGAATTGACCCTTGTCTTGTTACTGGATTACTTCACTGAAGTCATACAGATTTAAACACATTTTCACCAGAGCCACTATTCAAAGATGCTAGGGTCACATTTAACAAGACAATATTAAATGAATAACTCATAAATAATTAAACTGAAACATACTATATTAAAACATGTTAATCCATTTTAGACTTTCATGATATTATATAATAAGTATGCATAATAACTGTATGGCTTTAGCGAAGCATTATCAAACAATTTCATGTTTGTTTTATACCGAAATAATTGTTTGGGTTTGTATTTATGTCTCTGTTTCTGTCTATATAGGGTTTTCTATTTACATGTACCAAAAAGTATTGTATATAAAATGTCTCAATGGAATACTGTGTCACTGACTCTTTCTTTTTTCTCTCTTTCGGTAAACAAAATGATTGGAAAAAAAAGAAACTTTACATCATTTCAATACAGAATCACTGCTGTTGCAGAATACACGCCCTTAAATAAACTCGGGTAGCGAAAACATATATAGAACATACACACACTTGCAAATACAGTAAATAAAATGCATTAAAAAACGTTACGCAACATACAGTGACATACTATATTTTATTTGTCTAATTTTTGTTATCTTTTTCTGATCTCAACACATGCTTGTATAAAAATAATAATACTTACCTCAGTGTATTGGAGACATTGACACATGATAATAGCAATTCATTATTTTGAAGAAATTGGGGGCTTCAGCAGTAGCTACACTGTAGTGCCAAGAATTTTACTCTTATAAGTAAATATATTATCTCAGCATTGCGGTAAATATTTTAATTAATTCAGTTTTAAAGTGCAAGTATGACACATTGCATTTTAGAAAGTATTTCATAGCAGAATGCTGATTTTATTTTATTAGCGACATCCTGAATTCTACATGTCCTGCAATCTCCTCTTTTTAGAGAACGTCTCCCTGCCTGAAACAAAAACTTAAACTACTCAAAATACAAAATATGCTGTATAATTTGCCATTGATGGAGACATTTGGTCAGTTGTTGAGAAGCTGAGGTTTCAGAGTGGTGAATTTACAGACGAAATACAAAGTGTTAATCTTACCATGTCTCTGTAGTTGGGGTAGAAAGTCTGATCAATGAGAGGGATCTTATCTGATCCTAACCGCTTCTGATTATTGATCAGCTGGGAAAACTGTTGGAGCGGAGGACCATGGAGAAAGAGGAAAAAAAAGAGAAGGCTGCAATGTTAACACAGGTTGATGATTAAGTGCATTGCATTGCAACAGTAATAGCGTAAAAAAGTGGCAATATTTATGGAGCAATACTAATCTGAGTTTAGCAGCGCAAAAACGTACCAAAAATAAATCCTCAAAATGATCTTGATTACAATTTACAGCTGTCAGCTGCTTTAAAAACATCCTTCCCCATCGGGGTTTCCTCAGGTGAACAATAGTTAATGAAAGACTTTGTAGGTTGTTCTGCTGAAATGCTTACAGCCCAAGGCTTGTCGCAGAGATTGTAGATGGAGTCCAGAGAGTTGACCGAGGGGACGCCTGCGTACTGCAGACCGATGATCAGGTTCCTGAAATCCTCGTTCTGGGCCATACTGAAGGCGTGCTGGCGCACCAAGACGAAGTCCGGCCTGAAAGACCTGGTGTGAGAGCAGCAGAGACATGCATTACTTGATCAGCAGAGAAATGCAATGTTCCTGACGCGGATAGTATCATTGATCACATAAATGTAGTTAAGGCGACTAACTGTGTTTTTCTGAACTGTCCATGTTTCATTCTAGTTTTGTTTAAAAAATATTTTTCTTCAGGAGAATGTAGGAGATCTTTTAAGTGAATTTACCTCTGCATTACAAATTTGGAGAGAAGGTACCTTCGCAAATCAAATTAAACTGAATCTTGAGCAAAATGATTGATGGCCTTTCATGTCAATAATTCATTTACCTTGTAGGACATTTAGCAGATGCCTGCTAGAGGCTAATTAACTCAAAAACAACTCTGTGGTAAACACACACAAGTGTTGTATATGAAAGAGTGTAACCATGACAAGAATAGAGCTTATCTTCTCGCTGATGGTCTGTTTACCAGTGCGGTTCATACAGGGGCATCACTTTTAAACTGAGACTGTTATGTAACCGCTGAAAACTTCCCCACAGCCTCTTTAAAGGATTTGTGAGAAGAAGTTTCCAGTTGTTCAGTCTTTCCACAAGCCTTGACAATTACATGGACGAAAACACACATAAGAGCTGTATTGGGGCACATTGGTGGAGCAAAAGCAAAGTCTTTTTAATCAGAGACCAAAGGTCGCTGCACTAATTTGTTCCAACATTCACAAAATGTCAAATCAATCGTAGTCAGAAGCGTATTACGGTTGGTAAAAGTGTGCGTACTTTGAGGGAGGAGAAAGTGGATCGATACCGAAAACACCAATACCATGTCTTATTTTGAGTATTGACACTAGCATCGATAGGATTGATGCTGTTATCAGGTTTTGCTTTCCTGCTGCCGTGTGTGCTGTTAACAAAAAACAACAAATAACAAAAAGCATCTTTATCTAAGATGATTCTGGCTACGGTCTGAGATTGAAATGGCATGTTGTGGTTCTGCCCGTCCCTAGCTGGAGTCTGAACGGGCCGAGGAGGAAGCTGTGTGAACCTCCCACACATTTTGCCCTCCTGGTGAAGCAAAGCCGCTGGTGACGTGTGTGTCTGTCTGCAGGCCAAAGGTGGAGTTAAGTGTGTCGAGCACTGCGGTGCAGAGAGAGTCTGGCACTGTAAACTCGGGAGAAAAGGAAGGATCATTCCACCCAAGGGAAAAGAAAACAACTGCGATAATGGGCTCCGAGTTTGAGGTTTTTATATACAAATATAAAAAAGTGTTTCTCCTTCAAACTATATCCGTCTCTCTAGCAAAACAACGAAACCAACAGCTCTCGAGCTCACAGAAACAATCAGCGTCCAGCAGATTAAGGGCAGAAACAATATTCCGTACAGTCCAGCTTGGGGGAAGGTTGATGATGATAGGGCATGACTCCTGTTGTTTTTCCTTTTGTCTCAGAATGTGTGTGCGAGAGAGAGGGAATGTGAGGGAATGTGAGGAGGGGGGGCAGAGTAAAAGAGATGTAGAGACGAGTGCGAAAACCCCCGACACAGTGTGACCACCAGCGGCTCTTCCTGCCCCGAGAATACTAATACGACCCTCCAAAAAGCTAAAGACGACACACGGCTACTGATTGTAATCACTTAATTGCTGACATTAAGTCCGTAAAGATCAACATGGTCATCAGCTAAATGCTAATACTAGCTAGAATACAGATAGTAGCTAATTAGCACTGAACATACAACTACAATTGAGGAGGTCAAATTGATTTGCAGGTATTTGTTAAATTAATATATTGTAGCATTGTAGAGGATGATCATGATACATTTTGAAGCTAACATAAACTCCTCCGTGCCATTAATATCGTAATGTTAACTGCAACTTTTACAATACTTTTTGGTATTTTAGATGTCAATATTTACCATAAATTCTAGGGTGACATATGGTTTTAATGTTTTTCTTATTAATTAATAGATCAATTTCACTCAGTCCAAATGATCAAATCGAAAAGATTTAAAGCCATAAAAAAAGAAAATAAGAGAACAATAAAGCCGAAGATTGCATTTGTGACATTTTTCAAATCCAGATAACTTTACATCTTCTTTAGGATGAGGGTTACTTAGCAACACACAGAGCAGTTTGCAAAATCACTGCTTTGACCTGTAAAGAACTGGGCAGGCAACAAGACAGACGGACAATTACGTTGTAAACACATACATTTTCTCAACGGACAGTCCGTGTTTTCCGCCAGACAGAGTTCACCATGCAACTCTTTGAGCTCCACAAGGAGAGATGTGGTCAAAGAATAATGCCTCTGAGAACCTGCCACTGTTCCCTGAATCCGCACTATCCCAGGCAATGGTCCCTGCTGGTGTGTGAGCGTGTGCACACCAGCCGTTCACAAAGCATGAACACGGAGCGCCGGGGCTCATGATCACACTCAGGCTGCTGTCTTCATTTCCTGTTTGTTTTGTTGGTCGGTGAGAGGAGGCAGTTATATAGTCTTATAGTCTTGCGTAATCCCCGGCAGTCTTCGGCGGGGACACTGGTGTCTGTGTCACTGTGGTTTGTGGTGAGCCGGTGGGTTTGTGTGATCGTCCGGGTTACGGTACGCTCACGTGTTTGTAAAGAGACGGCGCTGATAGGCGACTAATCAGTATCAGTATCTGAATCGGCTTCACTCTGGTCTCTGTGCCCAAGGTTAAATAAACCAGAAGATATAAAAAGGAAAACTACCAGAGCGGTTAGTGTGCCCTTCATCCGCATTGAAGGCAATAATACACTGATTGAATGATGCGTGGATATGATACAACATTATTTTAAGGGTTACTTTTGAATATAAAGTCAGACTAATGGTTGAGGTCAGGTTTTTTACTATAATTAACTTTTTTATTGAAGATCATAAGAAAAATAAAAGTTATGTGTGGTGGAAATTTGTGGATTTAGCCCTAGGTTTGTATTTTCTGATTGTATTTTTGGGGTTAATCTCATTCCCCAAAGTGAAGATAACTACTGGGGTTAAATATAGGTTTTGAATTAGGGTTTAAGGACTTGACAAAACGAACGCGGCTCGTTTGTCTCGGAATGGAATCAGAAGACGTGAGTGTGTATCTTTGGGCGGTGCTGACCTGGTGACTTTGATCCCGCTCCTGATGACCTGCATGTCCACGTTACAGGTGCCATTCGAATGCGAGATGAGGTTGACCTCTGAGAACTCGGCCTACAAGGATAGAAAGAGGACATGTTTCATTAGCTGTATATTTTTAGTCTTGTGTGATGAAATACACATGAACCATGAAATGCTAAACGTTGCATATGCATACATGCGGTGAATGATTCCCGGTGCATTAAATAAATAGCTGTAGAATGTCATATACAAGAAGAAAAACATCTGATGAAAAACATCCATTGTCAATAGTTATTTTCATACGTATTGAAATATATAGATCTTTTCAATCTTACTGTTATTCTAGCAGAATTATGCATGTGTGCTTATTTCTAGCGTGGTTGCAAACACAACGAGGGTTTCTCTGTGACTCATAGCTGTCGACTTCTGTCTCCACTTGTGTGTATTTTTGTTTCTGTCAGGCTGGAGGTTGTTTCTTCACTGTCAACATCTATTATGTGGGAAACTGGTGTGTATTCATTTTCAGTTGCATAACCAAGTATTGCAAAATCAAAATAGCTTAAGGGTGGATTGACCAATATGAAACCACACTGTTAATATGACATGTATAATACCTTAAGGCCATACAGTTACAACCACAGCAACTGGCATCATTTCACACCAGAACTGGTGCTTTTAAAAAGAGTAATTATACTTTTTGTATAAGTAGTATTTTTTCGCCACAAAATGTTTTGAAGTGACTTGTCAGTTACTATGGCACAATGCTAGCATGTTGATGTTAAGAAGGTAATACGACCAGGTGCAGTTTGCCATTATTACCCAGCAAAGTACACGTGAGTCAGATGGGAACATCCATCATTTGTTTAGATTGAGGAAGCTTGACTTTATCGTTCACCGCGGCACACACACGTCTTTAGCTTCAGCTATACAAATATACAGTGTACGATGCTGGTATTTGTCCATTAAGCAAAGGAATGATGTTGACATGATGCTGGAAGAAAATGTGAGGGGTAGTTAGATTTAGCCTTATAGAGGCCAATAACATCTGTAGCAAATATCAGGATAATTCAGAGATTCAAGATACTTCAATCAAAACAAAAAATCTCATGCTGGAGTTAAAAAAAAAACTCTTTCTGACTCTTTCTGATCTCGCACATGGGGAGGTATTTCACTCAATAACTTAAAGATCAGAGACCATGAATATATGTTCTCTATTTAATGGGTATCCCTCCAATAGTTGTTGAGATGTCAAAGTGAAAGCAAGGTGCCATGCTCTTCACTCCTCTACAGTGATATTTGAAATCTCGTCATTTTGAATTGCATTTCCATATCAAGCGGGAATATCGTGTCTGTTCACTTTCATCTCGGTTCAGCTCCGCCTCGACCTTTAACAAATGATTCTGCAGCATCGGAGTTCTTTAAAGTCAATACGATACCTGCTCCACTTTGATGTCAAAGTCTCCAAGGACCTTCTTTCCCCGAAACACTTTAGCCCTGAAAGAGAAGAGAAGGCATTTAGTTTGAGGCATCACACACTCTATGCTGCTCTCTACTGGACACACCACTCCCTGTGGAACAAATGAGATGGAGAAAATGGACGCCTCCTTAAGCACATTGAATTAATTAATAATGGACAAACTTTCTCAGCGATGGCAAAATGTTCACTCCAATAAGACATTTTAAATGCTGCCGATCTGTGTGGCCGTACCAGAGCTGCAATCCACGTGACCTCAACAGATGTCAGCATTAAATTCAGATTAGACCTCCTCTGCGATATTAAACGTCGTCTTGACATTTGAATGATGAATGTATCCAGTGACGGCGTTGTCCGATGTTGATTCATTAGCATCTTGGCTTCCAGTTTACGGAGGGCGATGTTGAAATGGATTACAAGCAGACACGCACACATACACACGAGCAGGCAGATGGAGAGCAGACAGACAAAGACGGGGAGAAATGACTCAAGCAGAGAGGCACGAGCTGCCAGCAAACACACAAAAACTCTCCCTCACGCATTTTACGCGACAACGCAGATGGTTCGCAATGCTGTCCGTCATCATCCCAATACACTGAAGCTGGATAAAGCAATAAGCAAGAGCACGCACAGGAAAGAGGCCCTATGTTTTTGAAGTCCTGGCTGACAATGAAAACGGAGATAACTTTTATAACTGTCGTTATGTTTTTTTTGAGGAGCACCTCGTAAAACACAATGTCTTTATCAACAGATCTCTGAACCCTGCGAGAATCTGCCGTTGTAATCCCCTGCAAACAGCATGCCACTCTGTGCACCAGTAAACGTCCATTAATACGACAGTAATCGCATTCCACGAGCCCTCATGATCCATATCTCCCTCGTCAATATAAGATATTCTTTCCATATCAGCACACAGGACCGTGTGCAGCGCAGCACGAGGCATCTGGCTCGTGTGTGGTTCATTAGGACCGGACCATCTGAGAGAAACTCTCTGAGGGTATGATGCCGCAACTTCCACCATCAATAGCCATGGCAGCAAATTGCGTGGCCTTAAAATAACGGGTATATTTAATTTATTCTGTCCCACTGGAAGGGTTACGTTTCAGTTTTTTAGGGGAATATATAAAAGTGATCTCATTGCCTCTGAATGGGTCAAAAGGGGCTCACCATTCAGCTTATGTTCAATGTCTGTAGTGCACAACGCAGAACGGCACACAAAGACATTGGATGTCGAGCAAGCACAGTAATGGAGAATTATCGTGGGGCTGCTGCTGATGCAGCCTCCCTTATTAAATTCCATTAAGCGGCAGAATGCAGCTCCAGCATAGCCAAACACACCAAGTGCAAACAGGACTCTCAGCAACAGAGCTCCTGAGAGACGTCTTTTATGGGACGGGCAGGCTCGTAAGTAACAACAACAAAAGAGACAACCTTAATATTCAAGTCAAAGGCAAACATGTGCAAAATGCATTTATGCTTACGGCCTCATTACTCCTTTAATTGGCCTGTTGGGAAGAGCAGAACACACTGTAAACACAGACATTATATTACCATAAAAACTGTCACAGTAAAAGGAATCACCTATTAAGGACCATTCTTAGTATAACAATATGGCTTATTTACAATGACCTAATCACATAATCTATAACATGAAGTCCAATGGTTTTAGTGCAGCCTATTGTGTCAAAGGATGCCTCCCTTTATGACGTTATGAGCATTACATCATCTTTGATTCACCGTTACCGTTTCCTGATTTCAAATTCTAGCACCCGCTACGTCTTAGATAAGATTTGAGAACTTCAAGAGAAATGCAAGTCAATAATCTGATTTCTGAACTTAAATTATGGCAAAAAAACATTATTAAGCGCTTCTCACAAGGGGTTAATCCACGAATTTCCACCGCAGCGCGAACATTTACTTAAATAAAGAGTAGATTTTTCCTCAGAGAAAGACACCCACGTGTTTTATAATAGTAGAACTATGTTAAGTATGTTACATAATGCACCAGAAACAAAATATTTTTTTAATCTATTTAAATGGTTGAAGTTCTAAAGATGAAAATTCCTAATTTGCGTGTACTTGTCATGGGATAATAGGGACGATGAATCTTTAAATCTCTGCATTTTATTGTATCATCTGGATGTTAAGGCCCGATTAGTGATTTGGTTGAAGGAGCAATGCAGGTTTGAAGAGTTGATAACAAAGCTGCTGCTAAAGACAACAGAACCAGCATCAAACCGCAGAGCTTTGTTGACTGACTCAGGGTCATTTGATGTGATCCGATTTTCATTATTGATCCGTGGAGTCCAAGAGTCTGAGAGACCGTCTGCGGTCCGGCAAAACAAAGCCTCCTAAATCAATGCACGGTACTGACAGGAAGAAAGACACACAGAGAGGGAGATGTCCAAAGAGAGAGGAGATAAATACAAAACATATTGCCAATTGTAGAGCAACACAATAAATAGATGTTACATTAAACAGTTAATGCTAATCATTGAAGTGTGGTGCTGGCAGTCATTGACGCAAAACAATTTCTGCATAATTATGTAGATGTTACAGTATTGATTCTTTTAGTTTTAACAGATATTAATGTGTTAAATATCAACAACAACATGTTTGCTCAATTACTAATGTTAATCTGTAAGCAGGGCATAAAGACTGAGTCTGCCACACATTAAGGCATGAGACGTATCCATCACGTCCTAGACGTTCATGGTCAATCTCTCACTCACACTTCTATGCTTTTTGTCTTGCTTCTACTCTCTTCTATATCAATGCTGAGGTCAAGACCCTCTTTTCCCCTCATTGCATCATTGTATCACCTCCGTGGTGATCATGATCAATTCAAGACAGATTCATGGAAAGTGTGCTGAACAATGAACCATTACGCAACAACTGGCTACATTTAGATGGATTTCTAGAGATTGATTGATCTGCAAAGACAGGTTGGGTTGCAAAAATTTGAGAATACTTCAATACAGAATACGGTCACGTCAACACTTCATGCTGTTTAACAATTACTGCTGTTATTAAATTTGATCATTTTATGTTCAAGATGATAAGAGTGTATATATATATTTTTTTTACTGTTTTCTCACTTTTGTCTCGCCTGTGGTACATGTAGCACTCTCACAGGACATGTATTGACCTGTATGAAAGGTACACATGAAATGTTTGACTCAACAGCAGGTTGACATAGTTGTTTATCTACAATGGTGGAATCAATCGCAAGAAGTGAAGAAATAAAGCTCAGCCGCACTTGCAGGCTTTCTCAAAATGACTCATTGGTTCAAAGCCTTCACATAACCCAGAATGATTTTTTAAAGGCTATATGAACTAGAATGACAACATCTCGGTTGTCTGCGTCCACCAACCAGTTTTATTGCAATTTTTTACACACATCTCAAAAATGTAATCATTTCAATTCATCAATCTTATGCTGTTGCATATTTGTCCAGTGTTGATGATTAGCATACAAATTTCTGGGTTCATCCACAAGTGGAGAAAATTTGTACCATACCGTAAAACAATACTCCATTGAACACAAATACTCTGTTAAAGGTCAACATTAACATTTCCCCTGCAGTGACTTTGACTGCTTGAGGGTGCCTCTTTGCACATTACATGTAAGAAATATATAACAAGAGGAACCGTCTATCTGATTGGCTGTACTGACTGAAGATGAGCCGCGTACTAAGCTTTAATTCACAGGGATTTCTACACGTATTCGACACTGAGGTGAATCGCTTGAATTATTCAGCTGCAGCACAGGAGGCTGAGGCACCTTCTGCCATGATCCGCCTTCCTCCTCCTCCTCGCCTCCGCAGGAATGCAGGTACAGCATCTGTGTGTGAGTGTGTGTGTGTGTGTGTCAATTGTGGCGAAAAGGGGCTCAAACGTCAAGTCAGTTTTAGCTTAATTAACTATTAGCTACGACTGGCTTTACTTTCCATTTCTGATCAGTTATAAGTCATCAATAAGAACAACTTTTGGGTTGCAAAATGTATTTGATTGTATTTGTCCACTGATGCTATTGATAACTTTATTCAACAACATTTGACGAAATATATCCCTACTCGAGTTGGGGGTAGGAAAAGTACTATATTGAAAATGTACTCAATATAGTGGATTTACAAAGCAGTACAAATACTTGTTGCATTATAACATTGAAATGCTCTTATGTGTATTTGTTGGGGACAAACCTAGAAATGAACGCCTTTTGAGGCATTTAATGCTTTAGGTAGATTTTGCCTGTAATACTCTGCTACATTTACTTTCATCTCTGAATGAGTATTATTAGACTATCACATATCTACTTCCACTACTTTTGTCACCTGAATTCACCTGAGCGAGAAATATCTTTACATTTGCGTGTGAGAAGTAATATGCATCTATGCATCATCAGTATCCGCTTATCATATTGAGGGTTGCGGAGGAAGGGTGACGGGTAAAAACAACTCAAAAATGCTTCATAAAAACTAATCTTATTGAGACAGAAATGTGGGTTTTCTTCATCTTGAAAAATAAATGACGTCTAACAGGATATCAAATGGAACTCCAGATGATTAACAACAGAAATATCTCGCTTTTAGACTCCACACTACTATCAATACCATATTATACACCCATTTTTCGGTTGCACGATTCTTCTTGCATCATTTAATGAAAGAGACTCAGAGATGTGAGTGTGTGTGTGTGTGTGTGAGCTGGGGATTGTTTGTGTGAGGTCATTACGTTGCTGTGATAAACGATGAGCAACGGGGCATGCTGTGCTCTGATGTAGACACACATGCTTAGAAGTATGTGTGCGCGTGGGTTTGTGTCGATGTGGAAGCACATCTGCTTGGCTGAAAAAAGGCTAATAACCAAACCGGAGCCAATTGTTTTCTTCAGGTTTCACTGACTCTGGCCTGCGGATATACAGAGGCGTGTTACCGAGCCCGAACTGGGAAGAGTGTGTTTGCTTTGTGTGAGGAACTATAACAGCGTGGTTATTGTGCCTCTTATTCTTGGAAAGCTG